TAATATGAAAACGAAATCAAAAACTGGTCCCGAGTTTAAAATATGTATCTGAATTATTATACTGTGTACATACTATATATTGCACGAAGTATCTACATAATTATTAAAAAATCATGTAGCCTTGATTTTTTTTTTCGTTGGCATTTTTCTCTCGAATGAGTATTCACTATATAGCAATATAGCAGTAGATATTTGTACACTGATCTTTGTTTTTAGGATTGTTAAAAATGTTGCGTGCCGGTATATGGGTACCGGACAATGCAACGAGAGATGAGTACACTCAATTGTTCAGCTTCGTAATCAATGTAAAATAATAATAATGTTGAAATAAATAACTCAAAACTTTAATATATTAACTTTATTCAAATATTTCTAAGTCCAATTTATTTAATTTGTAAAATTATTCTAAGTCCAAATAATTAATTTATAAAACCAACTGGCGTTAGGTGCGTGCATTAACAAGACTAAAACATATCTGAATTAGGGCCTATTCGGGACCCCCTTTTATATCTGATATATGCAAGTGTGTGTGTGTGTATATGAAAATGATAATAAAATATAATAATTCTTTATTGATTCTGCGTATGCGTGAGATCTCTCGTCTGGTACATAATTACTGTCAGGATGTGGTCACTGCCATTTTGATTATTCATTTGTTATCTTAATTTCCCGTATAATGATCATGTGAACTAATTAAATAATTTAATTTATCCACGAGTGTGGTTTTGATTCTACATATACATATATTTAGCCCGCTATAGTGGAATCATTGTGTTATTGTAATGCAATTGATATAGTATTTATATATATATCTGTAACATTATGTGATAGAATGTATGCCCGTGACATTATAATAGGTATACACATAACAACAAAAAAAAAAAAATTTAAAATGAAAAGTTTATGATAACAATATTTTACAAAAGGTTATACTGTTAATTATATACAATTTCATAATAAATTTCGGTTTTCAAACCTTAGTCGGCGATTTTGCAGATGACAAAGCTATAATAGCTATCAGTCCTGACCCTAACTTAGCTTCTCTCTATGTACAAAATCATCTTCACCTCCTCGAAACATTGTATAGAGAATGGGGAGTAAAAATGAATGAGAGCAAATCCACCCATTGTACTTTCACTCTTCGGCACGGCACTTGCCCGACACTATTTCTAAACAACCAAACTTTACCTAATGCCCGTGTGTACGATATCTTGGAATCCACATCGACCACCGACTTACTTGGGCACCTCATATCAGAAGCAAAGTTGTCGCACTCAACAACCGTCTTCGTCTTCTACGACCCTTATTAACTGCCAAAAAAGTAAAACTAACTAACAAACTATTAATTTATAAATTACTCCTAAGACCCATCTGGACATATGGAATCCAGCTCTGGGGTGCAGCAAAAATATCTAATATCAATCATATTCAAAGATTTCAATCCAAAATTCTTCGAACAGTTTCAAAAGCTCCATACTACATCTCCAATAAATCCCTCCACTCTGATTTAAAAATACCAACTATCACCGAATTAGCCAAACTCCATTACAAGCGTTTCAATAGCCGACTCACCCAACATCCAAACCCTCTTATTACTCAACTCTCATCCGCAACTATTCCAGGCAACCCCCAAAGAAGATTATTAAAACGACAGTGGTGTCGTGACCTGCTGTGATAAATTGTATATAAACGTGTAATATAGGTTAATTACTTTCCTGACGAAGTGCCTCCAATGGGAGGTCTCTTCACTCCGTCATTCCTGTTTTGTTTTATTATTATATCAAATAAGCTTATTGTTCTAATTTGTAACAGATTGCTAAATAAAGAATTAAGTTAAAAAAAAAAAAAAATATCGGTTTTGAATTTTGTTTGGTGCTTTTTATTTTCTGTAATATGCAGAATTAGTGTTTATAAATTGTATACATTATAAATTATAACAATACATGATAATTATATTTATTTACGTTTAAATTTCAGGAAATTTAAAAGTAGATATCACGCCTATTCGGTTGTCTCCGAAGAAGTTTCATTGTACACACGTGTATCATACTGTACTAATATATTTATATTATATTATAGTGAATATTGTGTAAGTTAAGGTAACACATTGTATTACATAAACATTAGTTGTCGATTGGATTCAATATGCATAGCGTGAACAGAGACTGAGGTGAATATCAACCTGAGAATATTGTTACCATTGCTTAACATAAAAGTAATAAAAATAAGTATTATTTAGAATTCGTCGTCCTTTCAAAAATTGCGATTACATGCAACCCATTACCGTTCAAGCGCCATCCCCTTTTGTAAATTCGGCACTGACCTTATTTACTATGAGTGAAATTAATCTGTGCAATACGTCTTAAATTTCTTGTTAATTTATTAAAGTATATATTATTAATCATATGTATATGATAACATCGATATTCTTTCAGAATTGTAATTCGATTGCTATAATTTATTATTGGATTTAAATTTACATAGATACTACAAATGTATACTTATAGTCAGAATGGTGCATTTATTATTATTATAATTATTTTTTTTTTATTTTTATTTATTTAAATATAGAAACAATTACAATCTGTATACAAAAATAATACAATGAGTAATTGTGTTAATAATTTTTTAACTAGGCTGATTAGCATAAGGGGAAGGAGGCATCCAATGACACTACTTCCAATATGAATTAAATTTAGTTAGTTTTAGTAATGAAATCACGTTACCATGTTCGTTTGAGTTAGAGGTTAGATTGGCGGCGAGAGGATTAGAGTGATTTGAAATGTTTTTATAGAATTTATTATAATTACAGGATGCCAGTGTTGATACCGTTGGAACTTCGAGATCATGATGCCAGAATCTATTACTGAAATACCATTGAGTATTAGTGATGAGTATTAAGATTATTGATTGGATTGATTGAAACATGTACCTTGAATTCATTTATGATTTATAAGTTATTAGCAACCTTATCAATAACTTATTTTGAGTCAATTTTGCATTATAATTTTTTTTTTAAAGACTGGTGACCATTATGCTTTCTTATTGGTATTTTAATAAGGTTATTATAATTCTTTATGCAGTATACTCTTTTAATGAAATTTTTAGTTTTTGGGGCAAGGGTCCACCTAAATAATCATAGACAAGGCTCTGCTAGGAAAATTCAGTAGTCTTAAGTGTGTCTATTTTCTTTGGGGTATTGCAATTGCGCACTTACAATGAAGTAGTTGGGTATGCGAATCAGCCCGTACAGATTGCGATTCACGAGTACCCGAGCAAATAGCAATTTATTTAGTGACGTGCTTTCGTTTTGATAATGATTTAAAAATCGACTAACCCTAGCACATAATAGTATGTTATATGTATTCTATAAAGTATTTCTCAACAATAAGTGTAATGGATACACAGAAAAAAAATAATTCATCACACAATATGTACCCGACTGAATTATTATACATTCTTCTTTTATTCGTATACTTCTAGTCATAATATTATCATTATTTTATCATAATACATTAGGTTTACGTGTATACATGTATATATCAGCCAATGCATGTGCATTTATATAATATGCGCTATACTCTGAACGTTTTTTAACGTCTGAGACCATAAATGTGTATCAAATTAACTATGTAATCACGATACGTATTATAGAAAAAAAAACTTATGCCATCAAGAATTGTTATTATTGGATTATTACAAGTATACGTTATTAAGTTTGCTACCAGTTTTTATTACAAAATAACAAACAATAAATGAATAGCCTAACCTATAGCACAGTTGTCCAGTAATTTCGTCATTTCTAATGGCGTTACATATTTCTATTATACATGTATTTATTTTGTGATCAATATCGTTTGTAACGAAAAACTGATAGCATCTTAAAGGAATCTACGATTGTTGTTTGTTAACCCAGAATAATTAGAACGTACGATTGTTAAAATAGTATAACATTGAATACATTTTTCGCCTATTGTGTAAGAAATAAAGTAGGTAGTTTTATTAACTATAGATAATAATAATAATGACAATATTATTTTTCATGGTGTTTTTTTTCTCCAAACCAACACTTGTTATTATTAATTTCATTTTATTGATATAAAATAAGGATGTATTTTTACACAAATACTATGTATAGCACTCGCTGTAGATTTCATATAAATACAACGAAAAGTGAAAACTAATATGTAATGGTATCAACGTTGGACAAATTTCTAATATAATCTTGTGAATAAATTTTATTATAATTATTTGAATTAAAATGTATTAAACTTTCATTTTGATCTAAAATACTCGTTATAATATTGATTCATCATTAATTGCTATTAGTTATTTATCTATCATACATGGAATCCTGAACGTAAAAAGATAAGAACATGTTTTTAGCTTCTACATCGATATTATTAAATTAAAATACCGAAATATTCATAATTTAAATAGCTAAAATAGATGAACAAGTAAATGTTTTTGTTAATTCGTATTATTTTTTATTTAAGAGCTATTAATAAAAACTATAATACCTCAAAAATGACTGATTATTATTTTATTTATACGGAGGTAGTTGATGTGTGTTGAAGAATGCCTTTGAACATACGAATTACCCTAGTTAAATTAAGACATAGGTACCTGATACCATTTATTATTCGATATTTAATATTTTCTACAAAATATGAACTTTTAATATGCACTAAAACTAATTTTAAATATCTAATCCAAACAATAGTTATCTAGAATCTATTGTATTCAAATTCATGCTTTATTACAGTCTAGGTTTTACTTAAATATATTAGGTAATTAAAAACGTTAAGATATAATTAATTTATAGTAATTTGCATAAATTAATAAAACAATATTCAATGCTATAAGAGTATAATGTACCTATATGGGTATATATATATATATATATATATATATATTGAATGTTTTAATAATTTGGTCAAGGATTTGGTCAGAGTCTAAAAATTTCGTTCGTGATCTGACCTCCGCTTGAATCACTAGTTCAATACATATGTAGTCGTTTACTGTCCTCGCTACACAACGAACTATTATTTACTAGTTCACTATAATAAATTTCCGCATGAAGTACTCTCTTCTTATTTACAACACACTTCGATATTTAGTTTTCTCATGCATAAAAGTAGTATTAATGTGTATAAACTATACGTGTAGAATACATTTAAAATTATCTGCATTCCGATTGCATTTAGTTCACTTTCTTACAACTTTTATAGCTTATCAACATTTACCGTACAATAATGTTTAGTTCACATGAACAAAAAATTTATAATTATGTTTCTTTTTCAAAATAAGAATATATATAATTTGTGTTACGTGTTCAATAAACAAAATGGTTATTTTAGAGACTAAGGACAAAACAGAGAGAAGAATAATAATGAAGAGGTATACTATCATGTGATGCAACCCTCTAATAATGACTTATTTACATCATATATGTATGTACATCATAATTTTTTAATCTGTTTTATTAAATTTTCTTATACGATTATGGCACCGTGTACAATTTAGTAGATGGAACGGAGTACCTATAAGAGTGGATTAAAGAGGATGAAAGAGGAGAAACTAAAATATTTAGGCGTGGTAAGTGCTCATTTTGAAAATTATTAGTTTTTTCTTCGTTAATAGATTGATGTTTTTTGTTTTATTTTTTTATTTTTATTATTTTGAAAGAAGTTGTTTGAAATACACGGGAGGAGAGGTGCTGATGTGATGACTCGAAAATATATAGATTGGTACGAATTTATGAAGTTGTATATTTAACTAAATTATATAATGAGTACTTCAATAAATTATACATATAAACATTATAATTTACAATGTAAGAAAATCTGTGTTATACACTATACTCTATAAATTTAAGAAGTATCTACATGAGTTCATAATATAATAATATAATTAATATACAATATTTTTATATCATAAATAATTATAAATACATAAATGAATACAAGGCATTATTTCATTTTACACTAGTAATAATAAAAATATAGTGTAAACGTATTGAAAAACAAAAATGATACTTTTATAAAAAAAAAGCCATTTCTCATCCAAATATAACATTACTGTATTTTGAGATTAATGATTTTACACAATAGTGTATAGAATAGCGATAAAAATAATGTGATTTTATAATCGTACTATCGCAAGAAATCTGTTTTAAAATGTCGTGCTTGACTTGTACTTTACTTTATTTACTGATATTTCACATTAAACGCTGCGCTTTCAATCAGAACCGGTTCAAGGTATAGGCGAATTAGTCATCTGCATAGAGCGAACATTTAGTAGAAGCAGCATTTTAAAAATTGACTCAAATATTTTTTTATTTTTATCGGTATCCAAAATATATACATATATATATATATTATATATTATATAGAAACAAGTTGATAGAACTATACCCTAGTACTTATGTGATATCAAGAATTATACTGTCTTAACCATAGGCATGCGCACGGGTGCAGCAGAAGGTTCATGTACTGCATCTGCCACATATATTGGGCCGATTGATTGGTTTGTGGGCCGGTCCGGCCAATTCATTATTTAATAATTTAATATAAATTATAAGTAAATAAAATTGATGTGAACCAATAAATAATTATTTTTAAAGTAGAGTGTAGATTAAGTTATCAGTTTTATGTTATTGTGATAGTTGTAGTGGTTAGCAGTGTTATTACTGTTAGCAAGTTAGCTCTAACCTAACCGGTGCGTTGGCCGATTTCTCTGGAAAATCCTACGTACGTTCTAAAAATAATTCAGTAATCGATTGAATAATCTCAATAATCAGAATATCGAATTTAAATTTGATAAGTGATAATAATATTTAACATTAATTTAATCTCAGACGAAGTTATTAACTATATAGCCACTATATGGCGTGATAGTATTCGAATTATGAATTATGTTGTTTTTCTTCAGTTTCAGACGACCGTGACTGTTCTTCATGAAGCCGCGTATTCGTAAGTGTCTACGTAGTGACTAATTATTCTATGATTTTATGTTATATAACTAATAAAGTCTGATAGTAATTTTAACTTGGTGTTTTCAAAAGTAGTGAATAAATGTAAGGAAGTATATTTACATTTGTCAATTGTTAAAAAAAAAATTATTACACTATTATAGCCTATTAGGTAACAATAACACAGCCTTTGTAAAAATTGATCGATAATTTTAACTGTCTCAACATTAATTTGGCCGATTGTTAAAAACGGGCTGTTTAATTTTATATGCTGCATCTGCAATTAAAGTCTGCGCACGCCTATGGTCTTGTAACTGCTGCAACAGACGAGAGAAGTTTCAAATATTTGCGATCAAATAAATCTCAAGATCGATTAGTCAACCTTTCTACTGAAAGCGAAATCGCTGAAAAATTAGACATTGATAAACTTGTACACAGCTTGGTTTCACTAATAATAAGAAAAGTCAATTTTAAATGAAATTAAGCTTGTTTTATTTTATTTTATGAATATTATTAAAATAATAATTTGTTAAATTTTTTAAGATTATGACAGAGGTTTAGTTGTTTGTAAGGCTGAAAGCAATAAATATTTGATCATATAAATTCCTAAAATCTAAATGCGAGTGCATACACATAATGAATTTACGAATATAATAAATTATATAAGTTCACAAATTTGACGTTAAAATAAAAAATATATAAAAATATCCCGATAGTCCCTACACTACTTGTTATTTCTTTAAAATGAAAAAATGAAAATAATTTTCATGTCACATAAAAAAGAGATGGGCCGTGTTAAAATTAGAGCTCAATCCAGTGCACTATTTTTGCTTGAACCGGCCATGCTTACAACACGTTGCGGAAACATAATCGCGAATCCTGTTTAAAAAGGCACATCGGCACGTTGCACTGGTTATCGCGACGGGTAATCATAGCTTACGATATTAATGTTCCCAAGCCTCTAACGGTTTATGATAAATGCGCGTCATCTGCAGCGACACTACTTGTACACGTAACACACGAGACGCGTCCAATCGTATCGTTCCATCGGGAATATTATTTGTATTACGGCAAACGCTTATAACACGTAAACGTGTTGTATAACCATGCCCATAAATCGGATGTCAAGTCCGGTGGGGTTAGTCGAGTGTACAGTCGGATCAAGTCGGGTTGGGTTAGGTTCGGCGTCTCCGTGCGCGCGTTCGATTTGTTTACAATAAAAATGCAATAATAATACGCATGTGTACACCTGAATCATTGTTATCTGACCTTGATAATATTGCGGGTCTTCGACAATGTCATCGATGTCCTCTTTGGCGTAAACGTTTTCCGCGGTGTTTCTCTGAAGCCCGCCGTAACCGGCGGCACCGGGGACGGGGAAATCGTTACCGGTAGCGGGCAACAATTGCTGCGGCTGACCGACTTGTTGAACGCTCCCGCCCGCCCTGTTCAGACGCTTTTGCAGGTACTGCGTCAGTATCTGCTGTGTAATGCTATTCTGCCTCAATAAGTCCACACCTACGCACAAACATATTATATAAGGATTTCAAGAGAGGATAACAGCATGTTTCGGTAGGCATATCACGAGCAGAGCACTGGGTCCGGGGACGTTTCGCGTTTAACCACTAAAAACGACAATATAAATTGTTTGTACGGACATCTACCGGCCATCCCGGTCCTCGAACGATCTAGAAAGACGACCGGGTTCGGTGCGAAGCTATTCGTGTGTGCGTAATCACGATTGATTCAAACGTCATACGTAATTCGGAAGGTTATGAATTTATCCGTCGATAGATTTCGAACACTGCGGTTTGCACCCTTATGGCTAGGTTAGGTTAGGTATATCGTTAGTTTTATTTTTAAAACCCACGTCAGCCCGTGTAGTTACCCTCGCACAACAAAATAACGATTTATCTCGTGTGTCGTATTTAATATTTTCCATTAACTAACCGGTCCCAGTGTAGATTTTTACAGCGTTTTTGATTTTAATTTTTCAAATCCGCTCCGGTACTGAATTCAAGAAGACATTTTAGTGCGCGTGACAAACGTTTTCAACGCACAAATGCGCATTTGTTTTCAGAACATAATAACGAGCTAATAAAACGATAATGTTACAATTGATGTGGATAAAAAAATATATAAGTATATATGAGCAGCTATCGTGCAGTTCATAGCTGGTATTGCACGCAACGGTAAGCAAACGGAACGGACACGCAGGAGGTCAAGTGACAGATCATGATCCACGTTAGACTAACCTACCTACATATCTGCCCACGTATCGTTTGAGTACAATGTCGATAGGTACAAGCTCGCAGTACCATAATATTATAATGCGTACCCGTCGTATATTTATGTAACACGATTCGCTTACGGTATTACGTAGATATGTATTTTCCTCTGACCGCGCACAACGGTAGTCGTGGCGTATTCATAATACGCTGTTACACGTTCGCCAATATGCCATAATAGATGCGCGATTGGGTACATTCATATTATAATACGAGTTCTAGTATTTGTCTTATTTACCGATGGTAAAATACAAAGCATTTCGGACTAAAAATACGTGCAGTGTTATGTCGCCGATAGCGGCATAATAGGATGTAAATAATTCTGCACATCATTACTTATATTTATTGAAAGCAAAACTCGACTACGATCTAAAGTGTTGAGAAATTAACAAGTCAAAATAATAATTTTGGTATGTTACAGCATGTTTTCTCGGGATGGAAACGTTTTCGTATATAATAATTTTAAATTTATCGTTTGAGTGTAATTCTATACCAGGGGTTCGAATGAAATACGTAATGGCAAAATCGTATTTTCATCTTTTAACCGAATTAGAAAATAAATTTTTAACTTTTCATTTCTATAAAATAGCAAAATATTAATTTTATATAACAAGATGTTCTGGATATATTTGTCACAAATAAATATAAAATTTTCACTTTTAAAAAAGTTGGAAAAAAATATTAATATTTACGAAGATATTACTATCGAAAAAACATCGATATGTGCAATCGTAACCTGTTAAGGTACTCTTTTTGAAGTTCTTGAACGTCTTATTATCGTGTTTACAGATGATAGGTATGTTACACCTGAGTACGCTGCTTTGAAATTAATGAACGATTATATTTTTATCTCTTTGATAACAATAACGTCGGAAGTTTTGTATTGAATGTGTTTGTGAAGTATAATAGTTATGGTGGTATTGTTTAGTGTTTATAGTTTGCGTCTATCAGTATTTTTTGGAGAGATGTTAAAGTACTGCAGATTCCCGATGTCAAATCAAAAAACTAAAAAGAACTATGTATATTTCATTATATTTTTCTTAAAAAAATTATATTCTACTTATAACTGTAAAATTTTTTTAGATTTCGATTGTATTCACTTTAGAAAAGTACTTGAAAAATCGGATAAAAACTTGTAAACAATATTAGATTGTGTCCAACAAGAGTTTGCTTCTTTTGATAAAACCAGTGCATTAAGTGAAAGGTTTAAAAATCATAGTAATCCGATCTAATATATTTCCTAATATTTAAAAATGGAAATACATGAAAATCATGGGTTTGACAATTTAAAATTCAGTATAATTAATAATTTTTACCGACACTACCGACTATTAAAATAAAATAAAATACACAATAAATAAGAAAAATATTTATCGATTTGTTTTCTGTATTCTATGCGTTAAGTGTTTATTTAATCATCTTATGTGCTGCTAATTATTATACTTTATCTGGTATAAAATTCACGGAACTTCTTGTCATATTGACTTTTGGTTTCACTCAATATGGATACGATGGTGTTAACATGTTATCATTATATGATGTGCGTTGACTAATAATAAATAAGTTAAATAAATTTATCCCTTCCAATTCGTTTCTTAGACATGTCCCCGTGGTCTGGTTCTAATACTTTTAGTTAGCTTGGAGGTAGTAGTATAATCAATAAAATAAATTAATATTTTACTATTTTATTTTTCAAAAAATTTAACAACGAATTTAATGCATTGGTAATTAAATCATTAGGAGATAGTTATAATATTTTATAGTACACACCAATGTTCTAGAAATGTTCATATTTAGTTAAGGAATATTAAAATTATAATATAATTGGTCTTATTATCAGAGTGTATATATTGTAGTATACTCGTATTATTATAGTAGTATATATTTACAATAAATCTTAATTACTTTATTTGTTTTACTTATGGCACAAAGATACCAACTGCAGCAAAGCATTTATCATTTTATGAGAGAACTTTTTTTAGTTTACTTTAGTTTTACAATAAACTATTTATATAAATAAAAGCACTAGCTACTATATATTTTGCACATATTATTACATACTTTTTTTAGATTTGTCTAAAATGTAAATTTTAATAGTAAATTAGATACATTTGGCAATATTTATTAGTTACATGCTTACTTAAACATTGCTTAACGTATACTACAACGTCAATTCTAAAGAAGTAAAACTGTAAAAGAAAATTACTATTTATCGGTGTAACATCGATTGTAGATAATGATATGATATATGATAATTTTATATGATAAACTTATTTCTTAATATCCTATCGTTCAGTATATGAATGTAAAGACGTTTGGATGCACGTTTATTTTAGTAGCACATAAAAATAGGCGTAGACATTTTGATATTCATTTAGTATGTAATATCTGTATAAATAAATATTATAAGTACTAGGTACTTCATATAATGGAGAGAGGAATAGGTAAAGAAAAAAAGAAGACGTAAATATATGACACTGACATATGACCTTATAATAATAATGATTAATGCTCAGCGCTATGAAATAATATGCTAAATATAATTTTGAATAAGCTAACCACATTTAAATTTCAGATTTAAAAGTTCAGATTTCCAATATTTTATAAAGTAATTTATAAGTAACAACAATATTTTTACTTAAAGCTATTCTTACAATGTAACTATCGATATATATATATACACTCGTATATATATGAATGAATACATGTTTCTTAAAAAATTATATCAAATAGTTTTTTTGTAATATTTTTTAAATTTATTTCAAAAGAAAGCACTGAAATATTTACATTGCCTAAGCACTATGTTACCTAAGTCATAAATCCATATAATTGCATAATTGTCGAAAATATTTATTGTGAGGTAATATTTATGTATCTAAGTACCTTCTTACATAGGTATAAATATGGTACAAAGCCATACATAAATGTCTAACGGATAAGTTTACCATTAATTCAACGTTTCTTTATATACGCACATGATTAATTTTTAGCTGAACAAATAAAATATAAGTGTTGTGAAAAAAAACGTAATATTTTTATTTAGTATTTTTCGTCCACCTTTGTAAAACTAATATTCAAATAACGAAAGAAAAACAAAATACTCAATTTTTAAAAATCACAACTTCCTCAAATCGAATTAAAATTTTTAATTTCATCGTACACAAGATTTCGCTTTATAAATAGTTCATTAAATTAAAATTATTCATATACATACTCAAACAAAATCAATCTGCATTGTTCTCAAAATTATACTTATTATAAATCATAACATTAGCATTATGTTTCTTTATACTATACACATAATCTTACGTAACATTGTATAGTTTTTAGAAGTAGCTATTAAATTATATTACCAAGCTTAATAGGATAGATGTAAAAAAAAAACCCCATTATTGAATAATGGAGTACACATGTATACTGAATTATAATAATAATAATAATGATGCAAATTCATAGGCACTTTTTCATCCGATACATTTTGATGTTTGTATACATGTATTAAAACAATTTAAAGATATGGCGTGAAAATGTGATTGGAGACAAAATTATAGGTTCGTGTAATAAGGTTGGCATCTACTTTCTCTCGACGAGTTAAGACCAACCTACCTACACACACATAATACATATATATATATATTGATATACATATTCAACGGAGACATATTTGCACTCGAGGAAGTTCTTCTTTGATACCGGTTGAATGTCACATTACACAATACTTGCCCGTTCCCCTATACAAGTATAATAGAGCGAACAAACGCGTGCACACGTATATTACATATATATTACGTTTTATCGCTTTTCGTAGAGCTACACGTATAATAATACAGACTTAACGTGGCACGCAACAGAATTTACTGGACGCACAAACTTCAATGATAATTCCACCTACGTTTTGCATCGTCTGAATATTGTAGGTTAGATGATTTTATTATAAAATTCGTCTACGACATTGGTGTTTTATTCCTGACCTGACACGTCCCCGAACTATATTGTAATTACGCCCTGCTCCGTAAGTATTATATTTGTTGATTAAATATTAATCGTTTTGGCGCTTCACATAAATGCCGATTGTTTGGATTGACGTAATGTTATTATACACATTAAGGTGAACAAAGTATATCACGTCTATTGTATCAGACATAATAGCCTAAAACAGTTTCGCTTTGATGCATGCTGTATGAACGACACCCATTATAACGACTGAATGGTCTTATGTTATTTAATTTTTTTTTTTTAGCTGTTCTATACGCTTTACAACGTATTACAGGTATGTAAATATGTAATATCATATTTCTTAAGTACAAGTGCTATTAGGGAAAAGCTTATTGCTCTACGATTCTGTCACGGATTATGATTTTATTTTGTAAGGTACTTTAGAATATCAAATTGCCGCAGCTCCAATTATCTACCTAACTAGAACGTTTTGATAGAAATGTAAAATAATAATAAATATGAAGTTATAGATATAATTTATTTGTTCAATTTTTTTGGTTTACAAATTTAAAGAGCATTGTTAATAAAAATATATTTTAGTTCGATGATTCGTATAAACATTTTCCGCAAACGTCAAATTGTAATTTTTGTATCGACCCATTATCTAATTGATAACTATCAATTCGTTAATATTTACTATAATTGGATTAATTTAAGTTGCTTTCGTATTAAAAAAAAATCGAGTTTGATCAACTCAGCAACTGGTTATTTAATTTTGCTCGAAGTCTCAAAGCAAAGTTAATAAAAAAGAAACTCGTTATTTTCTCTATATTAATTTTTAAACAAATGTGGTATAATACATGTACACGCTTTTTTATTTTTCTGGGCAAACTACGGTAGAAAAACGTTTTTCTTTTCTGCAATAATATTCCAATAAAAAACCTTGTCAAGGACACAAATTAAGATAAAGAATAAGTATACAATCGTTATTACAAGTTAAACTTATTTTTTACCAAGTATATATATTTTAAATAAATGTTAAACATTCTTTATCCTTGAACTGAAATATTTTTATCTGATAATTTTACAAAGATCAATTTTAAGGTTAATATAGTGTCATTTAATTGTATGTACATACTAGTCGTGTTAATTTAAGTATAGTAATTATGTAAGCTATGTACAAAATATAAATAATCTAACGGATAGCTGATATTTTTATACTTAGTAAGTATGTTTATTATTGATTGTTGTGACTTGCGAATATAGTATTAACAATTAATATTTAAAATAATACGATGATTGAATAACTCGAATATAAACATTGATTAAGCTGTTTCGTAATGAAAGTAAAGTCGAAAAAATTCTTACGAACGAGAGAAAGCTGAATCCGATAAACGTTTTTTTGTCTTCAGTTATCATACTATCATCAGCCACATAGGCATAAACATTGATTTGTAATATATAATATATCATATAAGTAATTTATTTTTCTAATTGATATGAGAATCGTATGACTTGTTAATAATTTACTATTAAAATCTAAATAAATGCTAGTATAACAAATTAATGTTAATGTTTTATACATTAAACACGAAATATTTTTAAAATCTATATGAGAATAAAAATATATTACTCTAGGTAATACAAATGTTCAAACTTATTTCACCGCAACCAAGTATAATTTAAATTAATTAATAACATGGATATTATAATTCATCTATAACGTTCAATATTATGGTTTTGTATTTATTTTTTTAAATTTTTAAGCGATATTTCATTTTGTAAAATAAGTAACATTTAAAAATCCATCGGTTAGGTTACTCACAAACATATTAGTGTACAGCTTTATTGAAACAATCAAGTATATAGAGTATCACTTTTTTATGGATCACTTTACATCGATATATACGCTCATTTCAGCCTACATGATTTTTGTAAAGAATTATTAATTTTAGATCGAAAAAAAAAACCATATTATAATTGTACGAGAATATTACTTTTTATCCACTTTTAGTAGGTACCTATCAAGTTTAAAATAGTTTTGTAGGATCTCTCAGACAAGCATAATATTATGGTAATATTTATATGAATACGTGTAATGTAAAAAGTAAATTACCTGAAGGATCGTTGTTTAACTTGTGACCGGTTCTAAGGTTCACCGACTGACTTTGAATTAAATAAAAGCACATTGACGACGTGAAGAAGAATATTATAGTTCCAGCGTTAGTCAAAGAGATCATTTTTGCACCGTTCCAGTCACTATTTTCAACAGGATCCGATGTGATAACGCGTGCGCTATGATTAATTGTTGTTCGAGATGGATACGACGGTTACGACCGCTGCGAAAGATAATGAAAACCGTTGGAAATAAAATCGGCACGGCGGAGGTGTACAGGTAAATGTACAAAACGTGCTAGTGGCGGTGTCCGGATAGTTCATCCATTTCGCGCACGATTGTTGTTGGTACTGCGGCGACGGATCGTGCGGCAGGACTTCGGAAGGAGAAATTCATTCCTTGGCTGTTGGCGGGTGGGTAACGAGCGCGATGCTGCGAACGAGACCACTTTCGATCTCCGCGCGCGGTCGCACCGAGAAACCGGTCGCACGAGGTGGACATCGGAGCTACGGGGCAGGTGGCGGCGCCTATTGCGGATGTTGAACATGCCGGGGCCTATAGGAGCAGCGGAAGGGCATCATACATAATAAGCGCAATTCATGTTACGCACGCGCGTTCGGGAATCGGTTCATCACGTACCGTTCACGGGGGTATTTGTTATTACCGCATTTGTGAATTTCAAATGAAATTCTGCGTACTGCTGTAACGTTCTCTATTGTTTGCTTGCCCGTGCAGTACGCGGTCGGTTCGAATTTGGCTCGTAGATCTAAAACAAATATCGGTTACAGGCGGATCTAGAGGAGGGGGATCCAGGATGTCAGCTGACCAGCAGTTAACGTTTGTCGGCAAAGTTGGCTTCTGGAAAACTTATTAGATTTTGTTAATGTGCCGACTATACGTCGATGTCAATACCATACTGTGACATATGCCTCACTTGCCATCCTCAAAATGACGCTATTTGGTCTAATTGTGTAGTACATATCCTATGTCTGTGGACCCCGTGTAAGACGGAATTATCTGCAAAATATTTTAAGTATGAATGTTTTCAACGATAATCACAAATAAACTTAAAAACACAATTACATGATCATAACGGGGGGTTTTTTTTTTTGCCGGGTGTGCCTGGGCACTCCAAAATGTTGTTAATAGGACCCTACAAGTTTAAAAGTAAAGAGTCAATTAACTCAAACTAAATTCCAAATTATTTGGTAAAAAATAAATTATGTCTCGTAGTAGAATAAATAAAACTAAATTTTCTACATTTTTGTACAAAAACTTATTATGATAATATAACAGCCACGACTACAAGTACAAATCATAAATAATTGAAGTTATCTGAGAAAAATATATGAAATTTAAGGAAAACATATTCAGGCTGAGGCCACACGAGCGTATAAAATGCCCATATTATTGGTTATGGGAGCAGGTACATGAGTAACACGCGTTACAAATAACGTAAGTTAACACTGACATCAAATTTTATAAAAAGACCAAAATTGCAATACATAAGTCAAATTATTGAAGATCAAGGATGTAATTCATATCAAAAATTGAAGAGAAAGACTAGTGATAGAGAAAATTTGCTGCAAAGCGATCAGTAGATTGAATGTAGAGAGACCTATACATCTCTTCAAATTTGAGGTACTTTAAATAATTTTTTTAGGTATCTTGATGAGTTTCAATATTAGTAAGAAAAATAAAACGCTCACATAAATCATATTTTAACATAATTTCATTTACAAAATTAATCTAGTGTGCCGATCAGTTATTGGTATATACAAATATGTAAAGGTTGATTATATAATGGTATCTTTATTTTAATTATTACATTTTTAAGTAAGTTTTATTTAATACTTTTAACTTACTATTTTTAAAATATATTTATAATATTTTGGTGTTTTAGTGGTAATTAATTATAAAAATTAAATATACTTGTAATAATCTTAAAAACATTAAAAATTCGTATTAAACATTTGTATACATTTTACTTTTCTTTTTGAAATTATTTTTAAAAGGATAATCATAAATATAAAAAATGTTTTTAAATTTTAAATACATTTTTCGCTTTGCTTAAAATATAAAAATAGCATCCACTTGTTCTTAATTTCAAATTATGATCATAATCATATAAAGCCATTGTTAGTAATGGTATATTGTGAGTTTCCAAGAATTATAAAATATTTTGTAATATCACATAAATTGTGTTGTTGTACAAACACACAACACTTAAATGTCTTTCCAATTACTTTTGTTGTTGTGAAATTTAAATGGTCTTGAATATAAAATGTAAATAATCATTATTTCTACCTTATTATTTATAATACATAGTATATAGAGTAAAGGCTATAATATTTTTTATCTATTTCACAGTTGTTGAATGAAAAATATTAGTATATATTATTATAAATCAAAATCAAAAATTTTAATCAGATCAATATTGATTAATAATTTTTATTGAAATATCAATGCTTTTAATGATTTATTAATAAAATGTAACGATTGTTACCCCGACCATGTTACAACGTGTTTTAAGAATTAAAGTTACTGAAACGCCACAAAAAGTGAAACAAATATTTAAAAATACCCTTTGAATAAAAGGTATTGTAGTTTCTTTTATTTTGTGATAAAAAATAAAAATAAAAATCCTAAAAGTTTCAAATCTTAAATTCCGATTGATTATTGATTCATTTTCTTAATTTTACATTCAAAGCTATATCACTTTGAAAAAATATTGATTATTTTAAGACCATGTATTATAATTGTATGAATCATACAATCAGGACATACATTTTAAGTCCCAATCAAAATTATTATTTAAAGCTTGCTTGGCTTAATTTATTACGATTTACCAATAGCTATTGATTTTATTGTTATTTATATACTTGCTTGGAATGGTGTCAAATACGTACATAAGGTGGTTCATTTGTTTAAAATGCACCACCTAAAATTGGGAGAGTACAAGTGACCTAGTCTGGGTCTATATAATTTTAAAAAACTGAGAACACTAATTAGACAATAGATTATTTTTATTATTATTAGGTAGTAGGTTTCTACTTAATATGATAATAGTTTGATCATTGATGACTAAGTAAATATATATATAAATAGCATCAATATTTTGAACTTGGACCTAAATTAAAATGATATTTTTGAAGATATCTAGGAAGGAGTGGCCGTGTGGGTTAGTGGTTAAAATTTTTTTTTGCACCACTTGCTAAAAAGTAGTTCGACACCACTGCTTGCTAACAAACTGTGACCAAATTGGGTTAAGTAAAAAGTATGTAGATATGATGCCAAATTTCTATATTTAATTCGTAATATATAACATATTCTTTATCCTGTTAATTCGTTCAACCTAATTCTGTGTAGAATGTTTTTATTTGTACTTTTTTTTTTTTAAATGTCAATGTTTTACTGTAAGACAGTAATATTTTGGTTACTCATTTTATCATATTGTGTTCCTTCTTCTAGCATTTATCATAAGATATTTTAACATAAATAGTTATACATATTATTAGTTTAGATAATAGGACCGAAATTGATTGTAAAGTAAATTGATGGCAGTTGAATGTCAACTAAGAAAAAGTTAATATTGGGAGAAAAATAGAGTGAAAAATATATTTTTAATGGAAAACCCAAATAATCAATAATTGTATTACCTACCTAAGAATCAAGACGCTTTAATAACTCGGAACGCTGAATAATTTAATGATTTTGTGAAGGGGTTGGCGTTTCGGAAATTATAAAAATGTTAAATTATAGTTGAGTGAAAATATAATTATTGAAGAGTGTGATAAAAAAACAAAATGTTATATAATATGTTATGAACATTTCAATCAAGTAAACAATAAATATTATAAAGGAAATATTTTAACGAAAATATGAACACGATACCTCAAAAGTCAACATACGTATACCTATGTATATAATCAAGATCATAACTAAAAAAAGGATTTTTGGGGAAGTTAAGAGAGTAAGCACGTTTTTTGACTAATAAAAATTAAAATTTCTAAATTAATAGGCATTTAAAATTATTTTATTTTATTTTAGTAAAACATTTCGAGGGAGGGGGGGGTCTGAACCCCAGCCCCTTTGGTTAAGGTCTAATTATTTATTAGTAAGAATTTTTGTTAAAGTAAAATTTTTAATTTATGTAAATAATAATGGTGTATTGTTTTTATAATGTTGTTAATATTATTCATATGACGTTTACATTTAGATGTTAGGTAATAATTAAATAAAAGTAATGTGTCAAGCACAATGCATGAAATGAAATGAAAATCTTAGTAACAATAACATTAACAATGCAGGGTTATTATGTTATCTGCATATTAGTATTTTTTTTTTTCGTTTTTATAAAACTAATTAAAATATGACACGGTTTTACATAATTAATAATTATTTTAATGACGTATTAATCTAAGGCGATTTCACTCATAAAATATCTTCCAAGATATAGTACATATGTATTCGTGTACAGGATCTTATTTAAACATGGTGAGGCCTAAGACAAGATGAAAAATGTAACTCATTACCTCCTAACCAAATGTATTTTACGAGTTTTACATCATTGTTCGATACTCAAATGACGCTAAACTCAGTTTTGATGTTATATCTATAATATAATTTATAAATTTAAAATATATGAAACTTTAATGTGTGTGGAATAAACATTCGTAAAGACTGATGTACAACTTGCTTAATTACTGTCATTGATTATGAATACAAATATATACTTTTTTTTTATAATTTTAATAAATGTAACTAATTTTGCATGCATATATATTTATACTTTCGATAAGACTATAACCATGATATCTAGTCTTATGGTAGACATTTATTTAAATGCAGATAAAAATAAACATTGAATGACATACACATTATATTTTTATTTTATGTTGTATAGTAATTAAAAAAACTCATAGATAAGATAATTAAAAGTAAAACATATTTATATATAAATATAATTAAAAAGATACTCTTTAAAAAATTTTTGTATTGTGAATGTGATTAAAGGAAGGTTTATTTTTCGAAATTGTTTTCAGAAATTTTGAGACAGCTGAAGCCCTCTTAGTCCTGTTATTATACCCCCTGGTATTTCATATATTATGTATTTTATAACATACATGTTTATTCTATAATTAACGACAGGTAATTCATTTGGAAAATGTACCGTCGTGATCAGACTTTCAGGATAGGCAACTAATAATGTTTCTGGGTAATGCGCCTGAAATGTTCAAAATCGTAAATTATCTTATTACCATTGATTATAAGTACTATATTAGTATTTATAATCAATGTTATTACTAATCATCCATAATACTCGTATAATACAACTTGGAAAACAATATTCGTTTGATTGAAATAATTTATTTTCAAATGTATTTTCATATGCATGTTTACCTTAAATAAATTTAAAAATATTGAAAATTCCTGTGTACATTTTTTTTTAATTGGGGTTTAAATTTAAAATTGTACAAAAAAAAAATCTTCACCGCTTGGTATTGCACACAGAAATTTTTCAAATACAATAACTTATTAATTATTAATGATTTCAAAGTAAATACTACAACATACATAATGATTTTGATCAGTGTTTTAGTTTAAGGCATTGAATATGTGTTGACTTGCTTTGACTTGTTGACAGACATCTCATCTACTGATGATTCAGGTTTTTCTTCAAATGCACTAGATTCAGTGGCGTAACCGAGTGCCCGCAGACCCCGCGATGCAGGAGGGCCCACGGTAATTTGGGGCTTTTGATTAAAGTATATTTAATTCCCGTGAAAAAAAAATTGAATAATTTCTTTTTTCAAATTAAATCAGTGCTAATCTGTTTATAATAATCAGTTATACGAAATATGTTCGTAATCGTATAGTAAATATTTAATAATAACCTTATCGTGTGGGAATACCTACAATAGGTAATAACAATCTTGTATTCTTATAAATTTAAATGAATATAAATAGTTTCAAAAATTTATTTTTATTTTTCTGATTCGAAAGATTTAAAATAGACTTCATAATAAATCAAATATGTTTTCAAAATTATTATAGGAGTAAAACTCAAGTTACTACGTTGGAATGCGTATAGGTCTATTTTACTCTAAAAACCTTAAAGATAAAGCGTTTAAACTCTGTCTTATACCATTGTTATACTCTTATACCATTGATTAAATATATTTAAGTATATTTAATCAATGCTTATACTCTATGTCTCCAGTCTACAAAGTTATGTAGTGTGGCACTACACATGACATGTGTAATGTGTATAGATCGTTATGCGTATATTTTTACCATTGATTATAGATTTTGTATATTATATATTCAAATATTTTAAAAATTACTTAATTCAAAAAATATATACTTTACATTTTTTATATAATATTATATTATACGAGTATATTGAAAGTATGAATAAAAATAAAGTTTTATCTGGTTCTCAAAAAAGGAAATTAAAAGAAGAAAAAAATAAAATAATTTCATAACTACCAAAAAATACATCTATGTTTTAAAGACAGGATGAACAAGTAAATAAAAATAATTAAAATACTTTTTTATTCCATAATTGTCATTAGACAAATACAATGTTTATAATATATATATATATATATTTTTTTTGTGTTAGCGGCCTCTAGGACCATACCGACATTCAACCAGCCTTCCATCCATCTCGGTCAGCTGCTCGCATCTTCCAATCATTTCCTCCTCCTAGCTTTTCCACATAATTTTTTACTACATCTTCCCATCTCATTCTCGGTCTTCCAATGGGTCTTTTTCCTGTGACATTATTTTCCAGTAATATACGGAGTAGTGAGTTTTGGTTTTTCCAAGCGTATCCTGCCCATTTTATTCTCTTAGTTCTTATTGCTTCCACGATGTTTTGTTTTTGGTATAATGAGTCTAATTCCTCGTTTTTCCTTATCCTCCAGTCATTAGTTACACTGTCCTTCGCAGGTCCGAAAAGTCTCAGTATTTTTCTTTCGAAAACTAAGAGTCTCTGCTTCATATGTAACAATTGGTCTTATCAATGTAGTATATAATTGTTTCTTTAATTTTCTTGACAAGGATCAAGCTCCTAAGAGATTCGCTTGACTGAAAAAGCATTTTTTCCAGCTTGGATTCTTGCTTCTATCTATTTTGTTATTTGATTATCTTCTGTTAGAATTATCCCCAAATACTTGAACTGATACACTCTATCGAAATTATACTGATCTATCCTTAAGAAGAGGCCTAATCTTGCGGTGTTCTGCTTTCTAACAACCATGTATTTGGTTTTTTCCTCGTTGACGCGTAAACCTATTTTTGCTGATGACTTTTCTAGCCGTGTGAATAGTGACTTAAGTTCTTCTTGTGATTCTATTATCAGTACCAGGTCATCTGCGTATGGCAATAGTCTTATATTATGACCCTGTAAGTTTACTCCTTCATGCTGTCCCATATTCATTTCCCTTACAACTTTTTCTAATGCAACATTAAATAATATAGGTGATAATAAATATGTGGATAATGTTATGATTAAAGTATAGGGGGTCATACGGCATGTGGTTAAACATCACACGTCTTTTTACAAGCATAAAGAGTGTCTCTTCGCCACGTAGAGCGCCGATGAGGAAGGGTTTGGATTCAATTTGTATAGAGACAACATCTCTATACGGTTTTTCGGCCATTAAATCAAAACAATAATAACTAGCAAGATGTCGCACAATCGGCGGGTCGATAAGCGTGTGGTCTTCGATTGTCAGATTCAGACCCTGGCTCATCGACCTCTACCGTTACTTATTTATAAGATGGTGTTGATAGTGGTGTGATGTGGTGTGATTAAATTTTGTAAAATATTGTATAAAAAGTTTTAATATAAGACATATTTATTTTTAAATTTAATATATTAGTTGTAAATTAATATTATTATTCTTCATTTTTGTACTTGACATTTTACTCTTATTTAACAATGCATTTAAAAAAAACAGTATGTAAATAACAATTTCACATTTTCGTTATCAATATCGTGTATCTAATGAGTTGTTTACCACACACACTATATTGTGGCGAGTAGGTACGAATAGGCGTTATATTATTTTCAAATGTCGTATTAATGTTAAGTGTTATTTTCGCTATCGATATGAATTTTCTCTAATGGCTCTAATTTAATGAGGCAAGATCAAAGCGATTAGACGATACTTAAGTCAACTATGGGAAGTGAGAATATGATATTACTCTAATGAAAATCGATGTGGAGAAAAAATAGAAGAGGTGTACTAAATTGGGCTTAAATACCTATGGTTAGGTATTTACCGATGTACTTATTCGACAACAGTGTACAGTACTAGTCTACAGTGAACAGTTCTAGTCACTTAGTCTACTACAGCATACCCCTAAAGTATACTGCTGCTGCCACTGTCGTTGTTGTTGTTATTCAACGGAATTATAACCACCACCAACAGCAGCAACAATAACAACAACAATAATATCGTCTACCCAGTTTGATTTTTACATCATATTTTTATAGTGAGTAATCTGAATATATAATTAAATATATACTATTAAATGTGTGTATAATGTTATGTGCAATACATGACGCTTGCATATATACTCGTATTATATATATTGTATACTAATATTTCATTCGTTTTTAGAATATGGATTCATTGACCAGTTAGCTGAAAAAACAGGCCAGTTCCCGTTACATCTCCGTGGGAGATCTGGACTTGGGTCGGGAATATCCGAAAGTGAAATTTGGTGCAGGGCAAACAAAGTTTGGGTCGGTTATCATCGGTACATTTCAGGATTGTGATGATGAGGACTTAGAAGTAGTTTTCCATTTCAACTAAATGTCTGCTTATGTTTATCTGTTCTTGAGTGTCCTTTGTTCCTTTTTCAAGAAGCGTTTTGATACTTTTCTGTTGCTTCTGAATTTTTTAGAAAGGAAAACATCAGTACATTTTATTAGGACCAAAAAAGTAGTTGGTCTTGTTGTTGCTATGACAACAGAAAAAACGCAAATGAACCAAACTTTAGTATAGACATAAGAAATGGTGAACATGTTTATTTTAATGAAAATTATTTCTAAGCGCGACTATATTTTCCTCCAAAACCGACACTTACCGCTTTTTTTGATCACTGAACAAGAGAAGAATTTAATAATTTAACGCCAAATTATAATCCGTGTGTTGTAATCAAGGTGTTTCATTGAAGAGAATCAATCTAAATATAACTCGTGTAGAAAAATTAGTAGTGGTTTTACGGGGGGGGAGGGTCTAGGGGGTCTGGACCCCTCCCGGATTCCAAGTTTAGGCTATGATACATTTTTCGTTCGTGGCGTTCGGGTTTTGAGTAGCTATTTATATGCGGCTATACACGCTTACTTATACATAATTCTGATGATTTCGTCGTTAGTAGTCCGTATATTTGAATGTTTACTTCAGCTATTTAGGTGTTTATATTTCTTTGAAATTGTGATGTTTACGATATCTATTATTTGTGATAATATTAGCGTTCGGCCGTTCGAAAAATGCATATTAGCGGATTAGCGCAGCAATAAACTGACGCTTTTCACTTTTCAACCAACCACGATGCCCATTGAACGTATAAATTGTAAACTTTTTATCTTGTATAAAAAAGTTACCAATTACTATTTACGAGTTTATTTACAAATATTCTTTTAATCTAAAGACTAAGATTATCATTCAATTTGAATCAAGCTTGAATAGTATTTAAAATTCAGGTTAGTAAAATTTAGAATAACAATTTTAAATTGTTTTGATTTTTAATTTACTAAGTGTTTATCCATAATAATAAGTAGTTAATTTTAATTTTAATCTAAGTAAATTATTTTGTATTGTGAATGTAATTTTTAATGTTTTTTAATATTAATTATTTTCACCCCAGGCCAGTCAGTGATTTTAAAACTTTCGGCTATAATAAAGTACATTTTTTTTATAAAAATATTATTATATTTTCAGTGGCGTACATACGAGGTTTTCAGGTTCAACCCCTCCAAGGCCAAAAAAAAAAAAAGAAAGTTGTTTTATTATTGATGACGTGTAATATATTCGTGGTTTAATTATTACGCTTTAAACTTAAAATATATAACTACACAAATATTATAATAATTAAATAATTATATTGATAGGTGTTTAAAAAGTTTTGTTAACTATATTGTTTTTATATTCCACTAGCTATTAATTAACTGTAATGTAAAAGTAAACTGTAAATTGATAAAAAAATTGTATAAAATAATATCTATAGCAGTTATTTATCTGTGCAACGAAAAAAAAAGATAACGATTATTTTTGTTACCCCCCCCCCCCACCCGAGCAAGATTGAATGTACACGACTGTTTATTTTCCTACCAGTTACCACAGTAAATAGTGAATGTTATTAATGGTTTAAACTTTGTATATATTAAAAGATAATATATATGGGTGGACCCCCACCCAGAAAAAAATCAAAAAACCGCCACTGATCAAAATACATAGCTCATCAAAGGAAATCTTTTGGAAATCCTCACCATTAAAATACTTAATTCTTATAGTTTTATTAAATCTTTATTTTATTTATATCTATTATCATAATGAACTATTTAACTTAATAAATACATTTTTTGTATTAATTCTATTGTGTTAATTAAAATCAAAAATTAAGTTTAGCTAAAAAGTATCGTTATGTTCATTGACTGTTCTCAATTGATAATAGATCTTGGCATTTTTTCGAGTGGGTAATAAGCATGAATAATATTATTTTCATATATTTGTACTATTCTTAATCCAGAGGGTTCCATTGGGCCCATAGGAGCTCCAATAGCGTTTGTTGTGACTATTTCGATGTTTTTATAGAACTTTATGCAGTTCCTATGATAATGACCACAAAATACATGCGACACACCTGGTTCAACAAAATTAATAACATTTAATAAGAGAAAAGCAATTTGTTTTTCATAAAGGTACAATGAAATACAATCTATGCTAAAATAAAAAATATTTACCAGCTGCATGCATTTTTTCCAACATGTTTTTTCTGAAGTTTTCATTAATATTGAAATATTGGGTTTTCTCGTCTACATTTTCTACAAACCATGGTATATGTTGAAATACAATTATTCTTTGCCCTTTATTATCATTCAATTTTTCTGTTAACCATTGATCTTGTTCTTCTGCATGTTTCTTAACGTTGTCACGGTTTTTATAATATTGAGTATTCATTACTAAGAAAAGTACTCCACCACACCAAAAAGAAAAATAATCTTGTCCAAAATGTTCGCGATACCTAAAATTGCATTAGCTTATATTTACATTTTTATATTATTTTACAATATCTATGTTATATTACTTATTGATGGAATCTTCGTTCGGAATATTACCAACATCATGATTTCCGCACACACAAACAAGAGATATAGATGGATGCAATTTTGAAAATATTTGTTGGAAGTCGTTTATTTGTAATTCTTTTATTTCAGTTGCATCTTAAATATAAATAAATTTATTGAAAATTATCGGTGAATTCGAATTACATGCAAAAAAAAAGGTTGAATTGCATGCACGTTTTTTTAGATAAGTATGAATTCATGAAGGTGTATTATCAAAGGCGGATTTAACTTTTTTACGACTAAGGGCACTAAAATGTTGCTACCCCAGTTATTAATTATAAAAGTATCTTAACCCATTTTAATTTTTAGACAATTTTTTTTCGATTTTAGTTATTTAATCTACTTTGGAAAAATTTTAATAATGTCCATCAAATTTAAATGAATACATTCTATGATAATTTTAATGAACCATCAATATTAAAACTTTTATTTGTACATTTAATATTAAATCGTTTTTCGTAAATATAAAATAAGGAATATTTTTATTTCATTCCAATTATGTCTTTAACAAAACACTAGCTACTAACCGCCTCCTAATTGTAACGCCCTATGCAGCTGTCTAATCTGTCTATTGGGAAATCCGCCCAATTCTCTAACGCTAGTGATGTATATCTTTTTAGTGTATATTTTTAACACGGGCGCAATAAATTTATATTATACAGGTAGTATCCCAAAATTGGCTCAATGAACACTGGATAAACCACGCACGCAGCTGAGATGTAAAAAAAAAGAATTTTTTGCACGTAATTCAGATGCAGCCAAAGTGATATCAAGTTAAAATCTTGCTTACCATCAGACAATTCATTTATTAAATCACCACAAATAACTACAAACTGAGGCCTAGGAGTTAAGTTATTGATTTTATCAACAGCACAAATAGCTTTTTCCATTTCAATTTTCCAATCTTTAGCATCACGTTCTCTATGCGGCCAAATATATCCTAATTGAACGTCAGCACCAATGACAAAATTGAAATTTCCAGCCCATGATTGAGAATTTTTGTCTACAAAGGAAAAAGTATTTAAAGTATTCTATAGGTACTCCAAAAATGTTTTAAAAAATAAGTATAATCATAAATCAATACGTAATTTAGTATGCTTTTCATTGTTATTGAATATTATCCAAAAAACATTCGTATAATATGAAAAAATAGTAGTTCACAAAACTATTTGGCAATAAGCGAGAAAAAAATATTTAAGCTGTATTATCTGCCGTACTTAAGTAGTATTATATTTTTAAAGTAAAAGTTTAATTATTACGTCATATTGATCTCACCATATTCAATTATATCTTATTTACTCGAAGTATTATTAATACTTAAGACTAAAAATACATTTTAATTAGTTTGTATTAAGATTTAGATTTCGTACATTATCTTAGAGTTTACCTGTTAAAGTGTAATAGACCATGCAAATATATTTATCGATACCGAGTTTTATATATTTTGAATAATCCGCAGGATGATAAATATTTGTACATAAATTGAAGTATAGTACTAGATTGAATTGAAATTAATAATTTTTGTTTTTAGTCATTGATTCTAATTTATTGACTTAAAAAAACTAAAAAAATTTTATGTGCGTTATTAAAATATATGATTAAGTACCTAAATAATGAATGCACAAAATTATTAATGTGTTCTTTTTATTTATGGTTCTTGAAAAGTAAATAGTTGTATCAATCCAACTATTTAAATGAAAGGTAACATAGTATCTACCTTGTCTTGCCTGTTGTGAATATGTTTAAAAATGTTGAACTTAAATAAACATTAATATTTATTTTTTTTCTAGGCAATCATTTTTATTTGTTAACTACGAGTATTTAAACTAATTTTGTTATTATTTCAATAATATTAACCCAAATTAATTTTTTTGGAAAAAAAAAGGTAGAACAAACTAAAATTAATATTAACAATTTATATAAATATTGGAATACTTTTTTGAAAAACCATTTAGAAGTTAAAGGGTGCCACCGTACAAGAAAAACGGGAAGAGTTCGACGGAAATGTTAAAAATTTACGAGTTATTATATTTATACCTATTATACATTTTCTATTAGCAGACATTTGTATAGACATAGACATTAGTATAGCACATAACTATTTTCCAATCGCTCTATGTGTATAAACATAGTTTTAAAGTTTTTAAAGTTTTTTGCTAGAATATTTTTGACTACTTCAAACAGATACCTTACTAAATGTTAAGAATAAATAACTAAATTGAAACTTACATTGATCATATCCTATTTGTTCTTCAATTTCATGTTTTTTCCATTTCATTGACTGTTTGTTTGTTTCTGTCATTTTAACTAATAACACAAAATAAAATGTAATAAAGGTAAAACAATTTTGATTTTTTTTTATATTTACGTTTATTTTATATTAATAACCATAAGCACAATTAGGAGGGCGCAAGAGAGTCTTAAACACCTCTGGTGTTACAGTGAAATAATATAACTTTTAATTTCAACAATTTCATCATCCCCAATATTTGGGATCTAGTTGCGCCTATTTTAATAGCGATATTTTAATAAATATTTAATAGTTTTAAGTAAATTATTTAATACTAATTTATATTTCATTTATTCCTAAAATAAACACTACACATAGTATCAGTTAGGAATACCTATATAGTTGCCTGAATACTCAGAACTTCACTTGAATACTTGAATATCAACTTGGAAATGCAGTGATCTTATATGAAAACTACACAATAGATATTTATAAATATAGCTAAAAAAATGAAAATGGCAATGATGGTTTAGTTATTTAATTGCACTAAATATTGGTATACTACAAATACGAACAAATAAACTATACTAAACTAGTCGTGTTGACGTAGATTAACCATAAACGTGTGTAGTATTTATGATTAAAATTATCATCTTCACAGTGTGGTTAAAAATCGAATTCAATAATTAACGTAAAGTAGAGCTAGTGTCTCTCAACAATCTAGAGACAAAGGACGGATTCAATAATAGTACATAACCACTCATGTAGTCAAATTTGAATCGAACACTAATTAAAAATGTAGTTACTTGAAAAAATAAATTATATTTTTGTAGATTATATATTATTTAAATTTATAAAATAAAAATTAACTAACATGGTACCAACATGAACCGAATATTGCTCTATAGATTCTATAAACGATAATTATATAAATCAATTTTAAATTAAAAATACCAAGCCCACGGGTTATACATCAAAATATTAGTTAACTAATGTGATGGTACACTAACTACTTTTGGGTGTAAATAAATCTGGATTGATTTTACAAACTAAAAAAAAACACCTATAGTCCGATAGCGATCGCATTGGTATTATAATATAATTTAGGATTTGACTATGACATGTTTTAATGTGATTTGTGACAGTTTACAAAATAATCCATATCTTGTTCCGTGAAAGATCACAAAGTCTTAATAGTGTAACTACTAATGATAAATACTATTATTTATTGGGTTTTAATATTTTATAAATAAAAACAAAAATTAAAACTGTATACTGCTGTACTATCGATTAATGAGTCATATTTAATATTAAGAACAGCTAAAACATTTTATGATGTCTTGGACTAAAATGTTGGCATACTCAAATATTTAGTTATATTTAATTTCACCTATGAATATTTCAATAGAACGAGTGTGAGGCAGTAAACAGAAAATGTTGAGAATCAATGGTTAAATTATATACGTTGAACAATTATAATATAGCTGCTTGTTATTCATCAGTGAGTTATCAGCAAAATTAATGAACACAAACATTTTTTTAACGTTTATCACTAATTTTCATTGAAGGCGACTCGTGTGATTCTGTATAATAGTTTTTTTTTTAATATATCATATATACGGTATATTATATTTATATATTTATTATATTATTAGGTATATCTAATGGTTATCCATAAACTAATTAAAAAGCGGCCAATCGAATACTTAGTAGATATATAATAGATAAATACTCATATCTAATTAGATATTTAAATATTTATATTAATTAATGAATGTTATGGATACTTATAAAGCCTATATATTATAGATCTTTTAGTTGTACTTGTGTTATGTGGGTAATATCTGATATTCATTAATCTTATTTAAAAAAAGATGGTTCCTCAAAAATGTTCTGGTTCCTGCGAAGGTTCCGATAAAAGAAGTTAGGAAACACTGTTCTACTCCGTGGTTACATTACAATTTGTTTAATTCGCCAATCACACGATCAACTCTGCGTGGTCTCACCCGTAAATGTCCCATGAATGCGCATATGATGACGAATGAACTTTTTAACTTTTTAAAGCGGGCATTTCGGGCATAGATTAAGTAATATTTTTTTAATTATTTACGCGTGAATTAAATTTATATTTTTGTTGTGCGTCATTTTCATCTTTGAACGAATTTATTAAAGTTGATGCTACTTTTATCCAGGCCACATTCTTTTTTATTTTGACTTTATAGTCTTCATCAGTTGTATTCGACAAAAAATCATATTTAGGCCCATTTAAATGTAATTGTCATTTTGAAAAGAAATCGAATGACCAACGTATTAATTTCAGTACGAATTTTTTGTATTTCTTTTGTTGTTTTGTTTAGTTCAATACGTCCGTACTTAGAGTGCATGTGTGTGTCCACGAACATTTGATTAATAACAATTGTATAAGTACATTGACAGTGGCGTAACCAGAATAATATTTTGGGAAGGGTATTTTAAATTTTCTTTACAAATTAAATACCATATTTTAATTTTTATAAGTCCATTAAACATACCAAAGTTAAAATATAAAATTTATTATTATTTATTTCAGTGCCGGCGCTACAATTTTAGAGGCCCTGGGCGAAATACATTTCATGAGGGCGAGAGGCCCTTGTGTATAGAAAATGCATAACAAATACTCTTAAAGTTCTCATGATACTTTAAAATAAATCATATTCCCCCCCCCCCCCCCAAAAAAAACAGAAATTTGTAATTTATAACAAATTTAATTTAATTTTAATAAAAATCAAATAAAATAAAATAATTTTTTAAACGTAATCACTAATGTCTAAAATGTAAATATATAGAAGTAAAATTAAGAGATATGAAGATCAAATTTATACTTACGTAATACATATACCAATTTTTATTAGATTATTACATTACATTTATAATTTTAAAAGAAACCATGATGAACCGCAAAGAAGGGACCCCCCTTCACGTGCACGTCGATCCAAAAATACTGAACTATTTTTTTTAGGATTGCCAAAAATTTATAAGGCGGAACCGGGACAACACAAACACAATATTGAGTAATATATTTTTTATATAACTCTTAATATATTGAGAGGATCAGTGGCGTATACGAGACGGGGATGTGGAGGTCAGATCCCCTCTAGGCTTTTTTTTAAATGTTATAAAATAATTTTTTAGTGTGAGGGTGTTAGAAACGTAAAAAAAAAGTAATGATAAAATAAAAACAATGATTTGTTTGCTAATGAACCCCTCCCCCCATAAAAAATTTATGTATACGCCACTGAAGAGGACCATTAATTGCAGGCAATATAATATTTAAAGAAAATGTAAAATAAAATATATTATATACTTAATAATTACTTGTGTAAATTACAAAGTATGTTTTTACTATATATTGTTAATCGATAATGATTAAAAATGTACTTTAAGATAAAATGGTCGAAATTAAAAATTAAACAATACTACATTTCCTCTAAATGTCTATGCCGGGACATATGGACATCCCGAAAACATTTTTTTGGGGTACCAGGACGCGAAGTCCAAAACCGGTGACAATCCCGGTTTTTCGGGACGTATGGCAACCCTAATTTTTGTGTATTAATTTTACTACACAATAATTTTGTAATGTTACTTGTGACAGCAGATTACAAACCACTTTATAAAGCGAGAATCTGTAAAAAACAATTTATTAACTAATTGTTTAACCAATGCAAAATGTTTTTATTATTTATTTCTATCAAAAATCAAAACAAACTATTGGTTGTAGTTAACGCAAGCTTCTATTTTTGTTCATATCAGTTTTCTTTTGAATTGAGGGCCCCAAATCACGAAGGCCCCGGTGCGTCACACCTACTGCACCACTGCTACGACGCTGTGTAACACGGTTATTGATTAATAATTTAACAATAAAACAATAAGTGTTAGTATACAACTTACCAAGTCAATAATAATATTATCGATTTCATTTTTGACTTTTTCAACATAATCCTTGTGGCCTTTAATCAAAACTTTACTAGAATTGAAATTAACTTATGGAAATGTAACAGTAACTTCATTATGTTTCCCACATATCTGGTTTATTACTTCAGCATGGTGGGCAACAAAATCCTACTTTTAAATTTCTTAGCCATTTTTTTTATGTGTAATCAACAGTTTTAAATAATGATTATGCATCAATCGTAATTTAAAGTTGTTCGAAAATAAATAAATGGTTTATTATAATTTTCCATTTGGCTATCTATTAGTAATGATAATTAGATATTAACATAGTGAAACCTAAATAAATTCTGGAGCCCGGATTTATCTGCATTTGTGTGTTTGCACTAAGTGTATACACGTCTATGGAGGTTTAAAATGTCCATGATTCATATCACACCGAATTTAAACACCAAATTCTATATTGCTTATTTTGCATATTTCGAAGGTTATTGCATATTTGTTCATTAATGCATATAACATGCATATTTCATGGGTTTTTAATAAATTAACATTTTTTATATTTCTTTTAAGTTTTCTATTCTTTTTTCTGAGAGTAAGTAACTTTAAATAATCTAAAATATTTATGTTTAGTTTATTTTTTTATTTGTATTCTTGTTTTTAAGTTTCCTAAAAGTTTTAGATTGATTTAAATGATTTGAAATATAGAGCAGTGGATATTATCATTTTTTTTTGTTTTTGATAAAATATTTAGAATTTTATTTTGTACAAAATTGTGGTTTTTAAAAAAATCACATTTTATAAAGTGTAATACATATAATTGTATATTTAGGCACTTTTTCTTTGCATATTTGCATCATATTTGTCACTTTTTAAATACATATAAATCCTGGTTCTATTTATTACTTATATTAAATTTATAATGGTAATTATTAATACAAACATAAGAATAATACCAATAACTACACAATGTAATATATCACATATGTCAGTTATTCGGTAATATATGTCCCTACCTACTACTAGCGCTTTACACGTGTGGTGAAAATATGAACTACTGAACCGTAACGTAGTCTAACCGAGTTTCGGACTAGCGATAACTAACCTGTATATCTTAAACCTTGAATTAAACCATTGATTTAATAATATTTTATAATATTTTATTTTATAATATGTATAATAAAATCAATGATTAAACTAACCAACATTTTTAGTACATTTTGATAAAATTACATTAAAGATATGGCTATAGGATATTATAATAAACTATAATAATTTTTTCATACAAAAGAATTACATTGTCATTATATGAAAAAAAGTACTTGACCAAGCACAGGTTCAACTTAGATGTTTTATTGACTTACATTCATTTTATAATTCTCACATTAAATCGTCTTGTTTTTTATTGTTGGTAAACATGGTTTAAAAGAATTTTTTTTTCATTTCTTATCAGTCGTAGGAGAACAGTTACATATCCTTCTGTGGTCACATGCTTTTGATGAACTTGCAAATCTCTAATAGAATACTATCATGTATCGTTTGTGACGGTTCTCATTTAATATTTCGTCAATGTACGTCGTTATTCAATATTCATTTTACGTCTACCAGCTATAGTTTATACTCGTCATTGTTTGAAATATTCATATACTCCGTAGATTATCTTACTACGTCACGATGGAATTACTGTGAGTACATAAATGTATCTTGCACCACTAATGAAATAATTTATGAATTGTTTTTTTCTCCTTAACATGCATGCATAAGTATTCAACAACGTTAGTTCTTTAAACATTTTACAACCTTGTTTAATTTTTATATTGTAATAAAACGTGTATTGAAAAACATTTTACCAGTTTATTTATTTATGTTTATGTTCAATTTTATACTACCAATATTATAATACTATGATATTTTTATGTACAAAAAAAACGATCCGTTGAAATATATATAATAATAATAATAATTTTATTCTTGGATTTTCATTATGTAATTTTCGTTTACTAACATTTGATATGTAATTAATCATTAATCAATCGGTATATAATGTGCAATAAACTAAGTTTAATTCTCTTTTTTTTTCTTTTACCAAATTAGGTATATGATAACAAGTTATATCATTGATTTTACGTTTCACTAATTCATTAAAAAGTGAATTATCTAAATTTATAAATATTAAATATTGAATAGACGTGTACTATCATTCTTTTGTTTAATATTATTTAAACACTACAATACAGCAGTTCTCAACATTTTTGAGTTCACGACCCCCTATAATGACACCAAGATGTCTAACAACCCTTTTGTAATGTAAACATTAAAAAATTGTACAAACTGTTATTATTGTATTTATTTGTGTATAAGTTTTACAAAAAAAGTATAGTATGGAAGCTGATTGGCATAAATTAATAGAAAAAATAAAATAAAAATTATGTAAATTTTAATATTTTTTTAATTTAATGACTCTTGCTATTGTTGATTTGAAATAATTTTTTTATCACATGATACGACCCTAAAAAAATTGTTGGTGACCCCCCCCCCCCCGGTTGAGAATTGCCGATATAATAGTCTGTTTGTATATTACTATATTAAAGATTAAATTCATATAATTTCAATATTTTAGTAGCTATATATTTCATCTTTAGTATAACATATACATTTTATATTTCAATTGTTGATACTCCATATTCTTTTTAAAAATGTTATTAAAATTCATGTAATAAAATTCTAAGTAAATTGAATTCCTTATTATATAGATTAAATTAACGATTAATGTTCCTAACATCTGTTTAAAAATCATTTACTGTAAATTCAAAATGAATATTAAATAATGTAATATTAATAATACTATAAGAATAATGTTGAAAGTTTGAATATTAACTGTATTTGTATTTTAATTTTATGATTTCTTCATTTTTTTATTTTAGGCATTTGGCACCTAATACTTTAGATTTCCATTGTCCATTCAACCCATCACATTCAATGCCACAGAAGACACTAATAAAGCATTTAATAAGGTGCCCTGATAGACCTCCTCATTTTAGAAATTGTGTTTATAATATATCACATGTTATGCCGGAATCTGAATTGAAGGTAAAACATAAAACAATATTAAGACTTAAGGGTTTTTGTTTTTGATAAGTATTAAATTAATAATATTAATTCATTGAAATATTTATATAAAATACATTTTTTCAGGATCATGAAGAAAATTGCCCAAATAGAATTTTATTTGATTCAATTTTATATGAATCTGAAGATATTGTACGTCCAACTCCTGTTATAAAAAATGTACCTACTTTGGAGTATGAAGAATCTTGGGATGGTGTAAGTATTTAGTAAAAATGTTAAAAAGATATTTAAATATTGGCTTTATAATTTTATTAGGTTATAAATAAACATGTATATAATTTATATACTACTCGTTCACTAGCTAATCAGTGTATAGCCAAGACTAATATATTATTTAATTTGATATTTTAAAGGAATGTAGGTACTTAATATTATGTGTAGATTCATTTATAAAGGATTTTTGGAAAATATAATTTTTCAGAACTGTAACAATTTTGATCTATTGGTTGATTTTAATTATTTACTAATTGTAGTTTATGTAAATTAATATAGTATAAAGAGTGGCGTAACTTTGAGGGAAAAGGAGAGGCAAGTGCCCCCCTGATAATTTTAAGAGGGCCAATAGTATTTTACCCCATCCAACACTACAAATATTTGATTTATCATAAGTTAAGAAATAATGTAATATTATTTAACATATTATAAGATAACTCAAATAATTGTATAGAAGTTTTTATTTTAAATTTATTTTGTAAATGTTATTGCAATAATCACATTAGTTAGATTATTATCAAAAATAATCTATTATTAATATTATCTGTATAAATAAAACAGTAAGCTGATTGACTGCTATCAACGCATAGTTCAAACCATTGGACGGATCTGTCTGAAATTTGGCATACAGATAGCTATTATGATGTAGACGTGCGCTAAGAAAGGATTTTTCGAAATTTTGAATTTAAAGGGTTGAAATCGGTTTAATATTTTTTGATCAGGTCGATAACTGCGCTATTGAAAATGAATTATATTAAATAAAACTATTAAAAAATATTAATTTTATTTTTGGTAGTAAATGACGGGTATTGCATAAATATTAAACAAAAAGATCCCGCAACAGGTGCCAAAACAAATAAGAATGTTAGTTCAAAAAATTATTATGCATATCGGTTGATGATTAGACGCAATCAGGACTAAGTTATTTTACAATGCATAAGCTTTGTCAACAATTCATGGTCGAAATATATATAAAGATAGATAGCGAACGATTTTGATACTTCGATTTCGATTCAATCAAAAAAAGCTGCGTGCAAAAGATTCTCTAAACAATTGTTAGATATTGGAGATGGGAAAGTTACTACAGATGAAACGGGATGTATAAAATTACCGAACGATTTCTGCACAATCATTTATTCGCAAGATGCTCTCATTGACCAGATATATCCCAGTGTACACAGACAATACACAAATCATGAGTGGCTGGCAGAAAGACCAATTTTAGTAGCAAAAAATGTGGAGGTCAACGAATTGAATCTCAAGATACAAAATTTGTTACCAGAAAACTTGGTGTCATACAAATCTAGATACAGTTTGCGATGCTACTGAAGTTGTAAATTATCCAACAGAGTTATTAAACTCATTGGATTTACTAGGCATGCCACCGCATAATTTACAATTGATCATTACAATTTACCATCGATAATATACCTCCTTCAGAGTCATTTAAAGTTGTAATACATGCAGATAAAAAACCACCAGAAGAACATAGAGGCAGGTATAATGCACCAACGGCAAATGAAGTTGCTTTAGTGTTAGTAGATCAGCAGTTTGATCGAAGAGACATCATCCTCGAAAACTGAAGTAACTCACTTCATCGTATCAGTGAGATACATCGAGCATACAACGCACTGCAGTATCCTTTAATGTTTTGTTGGGGGGGATGATGGGTATGCAATCAATATACCACAACGCGATCCAAAAACCAAGTTACCGCTTAAAAAAAAGGTCTCTGCATCAAGTTTTTACTCATATAGAATAATGGTCAGATAAGGGGAAGACAACTATTTAATTAATTATCGTTCTCTTTTCAGTCAATATTTGGTAGATGAATACGCCAAAATTGAAACTGAAAGACTAAATTACATCAAAAACAACCAAGCCAAATTGCGTGCAGATAGTTATATTCATTTAAAAGATGCGATTGGACGACGAGACATAGAAGCTAATCAGTTAGGCCAAATGGTTATACTCCCGTCAACTTTTACTGGTGGGCCAAGGTACATGCACGAAAGAACACAAGATGCTATGACCTACGTTAGACATTACGGTCGCTCTGACCTTTTTATTACTTTTACATGTAATCCTCGCTGGGACGAGATAAAAGAGCTCTTACTTCCCGGTCAAAGATCATATGATCGACATGATATAATTGCAAGAGTGTTTCGGTTAAAAGTCAAAAAGACCATGAACTTATTGACAAAAGGTAAAATATTCGGAGAAGTGAGATGCTATATGTATTCAACAGAATACTAAACTGTAAAGAGGTTCAGGTAAACAAAATTTAATCTTGGCAGGTTACATACATTTATATACTTAAACCCGGCAACAACGGGTAATTCAGCTAGTCATTACATAAAATATGAGCACAATTTAATATTATTATCTTAAAATCGTGATTATGACTACAGGAACAAGAGGTTTTTTTTAGATCAATAACAAATTACAATTACCACTACTGATAAAATATATTTTTTCTTGTTTATACTTACATGCCTATTTCCACATTAAATTGTGCTGTGATAGTGTGCTTTAGTGTTTTACTGAAAGTCTATAGATTATACTGTTCTATTATTTTTTAATTATTTATTCTTCTACTGTAATTTGTTAATAATTATTAACTACATCTTATAAAATCTTTAATAAATGTTAGTTGACATTATTCAATTTCATGTCATTAAAATCTAAAAAGATTACTGACACCCAAAGCAGTAACTATTCAATTTTTAATAAATTGTTCAGGTATTTTGTATAGTGTATAAAATACATACAATACAAATATATTTGAAACAAGGGGTAGAGGGGTTAGGATTTTGATCATGGTTAATCAATGATTTCCTTCCTCTAAATTTTTTCCCAGTTACGTCACTGAGTATAAATATACATCATTAGAATGTATGATGATTGTGTGCTTTTTTTATATCATTAGTAGTTAATTATTGTAATCTAAAATGGTAAAATATTTTCCTGGCTAAACCATAATTAATTATTTCATAAAAAAAAATTTAAGTTAGGTATAAAATGAATTACATATATTCAAACTGTAGTGATCGTTGTGCAGGACACTACAATCTGTACCACATTAATTATTTAACGACATAGCATGTTCAATGTTATCTTGTGATGTAATGTTAAAAGAGATAGGTAGTTGAATAATTAAACACTTATATGTTAAACTTATAAAACTTAATGTTTTTATTAATGTACCACAATAGAATAACAAACAGTTTAAAACAAAAAAAATAAAGAACAAGTTATTCTGGACAAGAATTATATACTCTCAATGATGTGGCTGTAACAATGTGTAGGATGAGTAATAATTTATTAAAAAGGGAAATGACCAGTAATACTGTCTATCAGAACTACCTATCTACTTCTGATAAATGCTAAATGCTCAACCTGTATTTATTCAAGTTCCAATGACGTTAAAGTGGCGTAATTCTATTATTACTTTATTTTACTGTCGATTTAGGATTATTATGTTAAGAGGTTAGGTTTTATATCACATTATTTACATACCATTTATATAATTTTACATAACGTTGTATAATCATCATATGATATTCATATAATCATTTATACAACATATTTATTAATAGATACTTATATTAATTTGACTCACATTATTAGATTATGAGGATTGGGCTTACTACAAAACCACTTCTACTTTATCTATATAAAGTAAACTTTAATGTATAAATTGTACTTTTTAATTTTAAAAATTACTGCAATTAACCATTTTTATTAAATAAATACTACAAAATATAAAAACCCTGTTAGTCTATTTTATAAACTGAGAAAGCTGAATAACTCAAATTAATAATCAAAATAAATTATTTCTGTTTTAAACTCGTTCTTAATGCATTTAAATAAGAAGGGATAGTTTGTTATATTTTGTGTGGTTTTGTTAAATCTTTTTTTTTTTTTTTTTATTATGAGGTGTATTTAAAAATATTTTCAAAGCAAGTATTAATAAATATTTAATTTTAGGACCATTCAATGTTTATTCTATAAATCTTATATAACTTATGACAGTAATCAATAAAGAAAAATGTTACTGCATTTAAGTAAGACTACATTTTTAGTGAATAAAGAATAAAGTATATACTTAAAATTATTTCAAAGTAGTTTTATGACTCTTTTGCAAATCTTTTAAAAAAGTTTTTTAAGTTGAATCTAGTCTTTTCTATACACTGTACTTTTGTTTTCAACTTCAATAAAAATTTTCTTTTTGAAAAATGACTAATTAATATAATTTTACTTAAACTTATACCTACTTATGTTGGTTTGATTAATTTTTTTACAATTTACCATGTTGAAATTGTTAAAAATATTTTAATTTTTCAATTTTTAGCTTGAGCAAACTTCTGATGTATTGAAAAATATAAATAAAAAAACAATATCAATGAAAGCAAAACATGGTTCTACAAAATCAGAACGTAAAAAATATCGTACCAATTTACATGAACAAGATATTAATAATTATGTGAGTATATAAGTAACTTTAATTATTGCACTTATGTATACACTAGGCCAGCTGCTACCAAACTTTTTATTCAGTGATACCTTTTTTTTGGACTACTTTAAGTTATTAATCAATTTTAATACATTTTTTGTTAATTTTTAATTTTATAGAATCAAGAAAGTGAAATCAAAGAAAAGAATCTGACACAAGACATAATAAAACCTTTATTTATTGGAAAACGACCTAATGTTTCTAAGCACTAAATCATTTGTTTTTGGTTTTATATAATTAAACTTTATTTAGAAGTATTTTTTGCTCTTATTAATGTAGTGTAATAAAACATGTACAATCTGCCTTGACTTTCAACATTAGGATAATGCATTGTCAAATTTCATTAAAAGATAGTGTAAAAAATATTGTTATGTATTATTTTTGATTATTTTTCCTTTGTTAAATTTAATAATTTGTATTAAGAATCTTATTAATAATCTTTTTAAATCTTGTGAAATATTTTTTACATCCACTGACTATAATATTTGTATTTTATATTTTAAAATAGTTTTTATTTTAGATAAATATGAAAGAATTTCAATGTTATGATGCTTCTTAATTTAAGTTTTGAATAAATTATTTTATATAGTACAATTTATTGTATTATTTACATTTTCATTTGCTGGTAGGTTATTTATAAATTAAAATTTGAATTTTGTTCTGTAATTTACATTCTACTGCCAGAACTCTGATTCTATTTTATTTGAATTTATTAATTTGTGACATTAATCATTAATTTTGCATGAATAATAATTTTTACAATGGTTTAATAACATAATATTTATAAATACCATGAAAAAATAAACATTTGTATATGTAATTAAAATGTTAAATTAATAATAATATTAATTTATAATGAAAATCAAACCCTTGTTGATTTTGTTTCAGTTATAGGACTGACTAGTGATTATTAAAAAATATTGGAGAGATTGAATCGTATCTTGGTAATGTAAGTAATATCAATGATTGTAAATAATTTTTATAATCATTAGTAATACATAGTAGTGTTGAGGAAAATATACGGTTTTGTGAGAAATGAATTAATTGAAGTTTACGAAATGAGAAAAAATACCAAACTGGAATTGCTATATAATCAACCAAATATTAAATGCTTCCTAAATGTCAGGCGCTTGGAATGGGTAGGTCTAAAGGAAGCATAATTTGAAAAGTAATTATTAATAATCCAACTGGCAAGTGCCCCAGGGGAAGACCTCGGCAATGATGACGAGATAGAGTCAATGTAGATAAAAAATGGTGGACGGAGTAGCAAGCTTCGAGTCTGCTACTGTCCGTGTCAGATGGAAGGGCTTAGTAGAAGTTGCAAAAGGCATTAATGACCCATAAAGCAAAAAAAAAAAAAAATATATATATATAATTTACTGTTTTTAATTTAATACCAATTACTGTTTGTGAATCATAAATTACTTGTTCGCAGGAAATTTTAAACAGCAGTGTTCATTATTTGCTAAGAACTATAAAGAGTTTTTAGATTTTTTTATTAAAAAAATGTAATATACAAGTTGGATCATTCAAAATAGTATATTTGAAGTTTGTTCAAATATGACAATAAATATTATTTTTCGAGGAATTAATGACTGTAGAATGTACTCCATTATGTGTGATAAAGTAAGGTAATATTCAAGAAAAATAATAAGTAATTATACTTAGAAATGAGATATTTTTACATAATTTTATTTTCATTCATTTTTTTTGGATCTCATAAACAGAACAATTATTTCTATGTGTAAGATACATTATTCCTAATAGCTATAGTGTATATGAACATTTTATTGAGTTTTACGATGTATCAAATGAGAGAGGAACCGAATATTTCTATTGAAATTCTTTCTGTTTCAAAAAAACTCTGGATTTCTAATATTTCTCTTGTAGCAAAATCTTACGATAGTGCAAAAATATGTCAGAATCTCCAACTGGTGTCCAAACTAGAATAAGAGACTCACATCCTGAAGCTATTTTCGTTAATTGTATGGCCCACATATTGAATTTGGTTATAACAAACACTAGTAGAACTATTAAGGTGCATATGCAAATAATAATAAATACTTAGATTATATTTTAATATCTAATATATTTTTATTAACATAACGTTACAATTTATATGTACCTACTACCTATTATTTTATACAATTCTTAACAAGAATCTTAGATTATGTGAAAGTAGGTCGTCGTATCAATTTAATATTTATAAATCAGTATATAATAATTTTGGTGTAATTATAAATGTTTTTCACAATTAAATAAATTAAGATACAAATAAGTGGCTCAAGGAATAGGTAATATAATAATGTATTACAAATATTTTATATTAATATATTATATATTATACCACGAGTATACCAATGAGAATTTTTTTTGCAGGTCTTCTGCATATGTTAATGAAAATGTCATTCATATTATATTTGTTATTTTTGAAGAAGTCTTAGAAATAATTAATATTATGAGTAAAAAATACAAAATATAGAAAGTACAATTGGAAATGGTGCTATTGAAATAAATGCTGTAATAAAAGCAATTAAAAATATGAGAAATTAAAAATCATTTGATGTCTTATGGAATAATGTGCCATAGTTTTCAGTAAAATATATAATATAAATATAAACTAATATAATATAATATAATAAAATATAATCTTGATGGATGTTTTACTTAATAAACCTAGTTAATGAAAGTTTTCAAATTTAATATTATCATGTAATGTGATTCATGATTTCTAATTTATTTAACATAATTATATTATACAGTGTACAAAATATATTTGATTTCATTGAATTATTATTATGAATTTGTTTTGGTGCAATTGCATATAAAATAAATTTAAAAGAATCTATTATACTTAAAATTGTTAATGCTGCTGTTATAGTTGATGTTGAAGGAATTTACATCTATATCCAATGTTTTGAAACAAATAAAAAAAATTACAATAAATATTATTGATGTTCTCATGCATATTTTGCTATATTGGATGCTATTATAAGTCACTTTGAGTTATTTTCAAAAAGAGAGTTTAGAGCTTGCAAATTCAATAGACAATTTCATTAAATTAAATTTGGATAAATGCATGGTGTTTATTCATCATTACTAAGTCAATTTCAATAAAAACATAAAAATGAAATATAATAAATGTTTAATACATCCATAATTGTAATTATTAATTTATTTTTAGGCATTGTTTTCTATTGATAAAGAAGCATTACGTTGGAAATGTCTTGTGTCTACGGGTTACGTATAAACGACTGCAAATTTTATATAAGTTAAATTATTATTATTACTTACCGTAAGCCGGGTTAACTTTAACCCCGGGTGGTAACTTTGTCCCGCCGTTGGAATTTCACATACTTTTGTATGCTGTGATAAAACGTGTGACTATTATCAATAGTCGACAACACTAATAACCGAATATGATAACAGTTTTTGCCGTTATCACTTGCCTTGTTATTAAAAAAAAATTTCGTTAGGCCGAGCGCCCACCAAAGTAACGTGACATGTGGCGTGGCAAGTGAAGTAGCAAGTAGCATGCATCTAGCACGCTATTTTGTATCAAAACAATGTAATTAATAGATTTAACGCCAAATAAAGTGATACGACTGTGATATGACAAACTACATGTTACTTCGGTGTCATTAAAATGCAGCATGTTCCATTTTTTGCCACGTGTTACGTGTTTTTACCGACTAGAGTGACAAGTGTTTTGAAAAATATTGTTATTTTAATTATTTTATTAATTTTCTAACTTTTCTTTTCATAATTTTCTAAGTTAAAAATGAAAGACGATCCAGATTTTAACATACATTTTGTTGGTGTAATTAACATTGTTATTAACATTGATTAAATTTACTAAAGCCAAAAAACTTTCGTCATCCGATGAAGAAGAAGACATATTGACAACTGGTGTTACTAGTTTCTAGATACATAGGTAGGCGTTGTGTCACACCATTCGTCATTTTGTTGTTACGTGTTTGCTATATCACTTGCCACGCCACACGTCACGTTACTTTGGTGGGCGCTCGGCCTTAGTCGTGACGTTTTATCGACGCCAAAAAACACGTGTTATAACTTTGATCTAGTGCTGTACGAAAAAATTGTTGCTGAACTCTGTAAATCTGACACATTTTCACAAATATAGTACTTATTAAGTATTTATTATCAAATTGAAAAAAAAAACATAAATGTGTTGTTGTTAATTTACATTTTTGAGCTTGGGTTAACTTTGTCCCACTATTATTTGACAGTGATAACTAAAATCCTAGTATAAAAATTTTTTTTTTACATTTTTTAACATTATTTTGTTATATTATTGTTTCAAATGTTCTTTTGAGGTATTAAAGGTATTATCCCACCTACTTTTTTTATGGTCCCTCATTTTTCTTGTCCTTTTTGTTTAATAGTCAACGATGCCGCGTAAAACAACTCGACAAACAGATACGAGGCATTACGTAAATTACAAGCCGGAGGTATTAGAGGCATGTTTGAGAGCCATTAAAACTAAATCAATAACACAACGCGCAGCCTCAGCATACTATAAAATACCTAGATCGGCTATAAAAAATAAATTGAAAAAAGTACACGGTAAGAATATTGGACGTCCGACAACTTTTAGTGCGGCCGAGGAAATTAGCTTTGCACAGCATTGTACCAAACTTGCAAATTTCGGGTTCCCCTTTATCCCCGCAGACTTGAAGTTGTCCATAAAATCTTATCTAGATAACAAAGGAGTTCGTGTATCACGGTTTAAAAATAATACACCAGGTGATGATTGGGTGTATGGGTTTTTAAAATGACACCCAGATCTATCTGTAAAAGTAAGCGCAAAAATAAAAAAAAAGTCACGCAAAAATCACAGCTGACGATATAAATGGGTACATGAACCGTCTCGAAAAAAGTTTAGCAGGTATTCCGCCCTCTCGTATTTACAATTACGATGAAACCAATCTTACGGACGATCCCGGAACCAAAAAAGTTTTACATAAAAGAGGATCGAAATACGTAGAGCAAATTTCTAACATCACCAAGAGCGCTATTTCCTTAATGTTTCGTGGAAATGCGGAGGGGCCTTTAATCCCTATTTACGTTGTCTATAAGTCAGAATCATTGTGGACCACATGGACAGAGAGGGGTCCACCCAATACGAGGTACAACCGTAGCAAAAGTGGTTGGTTTGACACAAATATTTTTCAAAACTGGTTTGAGAAAACTTTTCTTAAAGAAGTCGACGGCGGTGGACCTTGTGCATTAATAGGCAACAACTTGGTTTTGCACATAAATTAACGTGTGCTAGAATTATGTGAAGCTCATAACATCAAGTTCATTTGTTTACCGCCAAATACGACACATATTTCACAACCTCTCGATATTGCTTTTTTCCGCCCAATGAAGGGGGCTTGGAGAGATATTTTGAAGTAATGGAAAAAAAACAAAAACTGGATCGTGTTTTACAACTCTCCCCAAAGATATATTTCCTAGACTCCTGACCAAATTGATGAACAAAATTGATATAAATATAACGGAGAATTTAAAATCTGGCATCTACCCCTTAAACCGACTAAAACTTTTAGACCGGTAGGCAGAAAATAGAGGGGAAATGTTCGACAAAGATTTAATAGGCAATGCATTTCTGTACCGCATTCAAAAAGAACGTGAAGATTTTATTGGTATAGATACGAAACAAAGAAAAAGAAATTACAAGTTTCACCCGGCGACAGTATTTCAATTGAAGAATTTCGAAAATCACGCGAAAACCCAGGACCTTCAAATGAAACACCTCGACCAAAAAAAAAAAGAAAAAGCAAGCTGCGTTGTCTTCCTTGAGCGAATTAGATACAGACGGTTATGATATTTTATTTAAGTGACAGTGATGATGTTGATCTTGATAATGACAGCGAGGATGTTGATAACCTCGAGAATGCTGTGAACGAAGCTAAAGAAGAACAACAAATTTCAAATTACAACGTTGATGATTTTGTAATTGTAACATTTGAAAAAAAAACTTTCCTGGTCGTAATACATCAACATTTGATAAAGGCGCCAAAGTAGACTGTATGGAGAGGTTTTCAAAACAATGGAAGTGGCCCATAAAAAAAGATTGTATTGAATACGAGTGGTGTGACATAATCCGCAAAATTCAACTACTGAAATTGTGTAAACGCAATTTTTTCAGAGTACCAGAACTCGAAGAATTTGTCTGATAACCTTTTATCTTTATTTTTTTATTTATTACTAAAGAATCATTTTTATTTGTAATTACTACATAAGTACATGTATTTTCAAAGATAATAAATTTTGTTTTTCCTTAAAATGCTGTTCTACTCGTTATTTTAGCTTGTTTTATCGTAAAAATTGGTTTAATCTCATCTTATGAACTTGCTGATAAACTCTGCATAGGCTAACATTAGCCCAAATAAATGAGAACGGGATTATATAAGGACATTTGGAGGTGGGTTAAAGTTACCCCATTGCCGGGAAACATTAGCCCAATTTTTTTCAAAAATGATTTATACTTAAAAACTTAGAAAATTACAAATTAGATTTCGCAAAAGGCTTGTATAGACCCACACATTTATGTACATATTTTTTCTTTTTTTTTTTCTTAAGTGCAACCTACCTAAAATTAGCCCGAAAGTTTAAAAATGCTAAAAAATGGTACAAAGTTTCCCTGTGTTACGGTATATTAAACGTTAAAATTTAGAAAAAAAATGAATTGGGATATGTGACTCCGGCATGAATCGTGATTTAGGTGAAAACAAAAAAAAATTTTAGTTCTTAAAAAAAAAAAGATATTCCTTATGATAGCAGTTCTACGAATGTACATTTTAATTAATTTTGAAATGTATTATTTTTGTTCTGCATCAATATAGAAATCATTAATAACAATAACTGTATGTAAGCTCTTGCTTGAGTTGATATACAAATTATATATTCTCCACATAATACGAAGAAATATATTTGATAGTTGAGTATTTTTTCTTATTTTTCTTTTCAAATATTGGCATTGATAATGGTATTGAAGATAATTTTGACCTTTTTGAGGCCAGTGGGTTTGATGTTGGTAATACCCGCACAATTGGTAGAAAATAAATTTGCAACGCTAATGGGATACCAGTTACCCATGTTTTTATTTTGGTCGAGGTTCTGGACAAGAATTATTATCGGGCCGTTATAATCCGGTTTGAAAGAACGAAGTAGAATATTATTATTAATGTAGCTATCAGACATATCGGCATCTGAGTTGGACGGTAGAGACGACGAAGTGCTATCTATAGATAAGCTAACGACGAGTATGAGTTCATTAGGTTGATTATCGACGAGTGTGCTGTTTGAATCGGGCATATTATCAGTTGTGTCATTGAAGTTGAATGTGGAACAGGATTTATTTAAAATCGGTGGGTTTTCATTTATTTGTTAAAAATTAGGTGAAACTGGGTTATTGGTATTTTTAAGTACCTTACCGTTTCTACCGACAATGCTGAAACCATGTGATGATGCTGTATTTTTTGTAAGCAAGGGTTTGATTTTGATTGTGACCGGTGTTTGACCGGCGAGGCTATTGCCACCCGAAGACAACAGCTAATTAGATATATAGATCAGTGGTCGCCAACCTGTGGTTCGCAAGAAAATTTAGATGGTCCGCAGAAAAATTTAAACGTTACTTACAGAACTTTTTTGTAGTTATTTCCCCAAAAAATAAAACCATAAACATGGTATTATGTGCAGGGCCGGCCTTAGCTCTTTCAGCGCTCGGTGCAAGAATTATTTTGGCAGTCTTAAATGACTTAAACATATAACTAAAACAGGCGCAGTTTTGGTAACTAGAGGTGCCTCATTATATATACCTGTATTACGAGCCACGTTCATAATCATAAATGCTCAAAATAATTTTTCAAACGTGCATGTTTGCCACATATTTGTGATTCAAATATACATTCAGATAAAAAACATAATAATACTTGAAATAATTTAATTTTTAATTTAAATTTAATTTTTTTGCTATTTCTGTTCTAAGAATTAATATTACCATAGGATTATAAATACTTCAGCAATATAATAGTACTTATAATCAATGGTATTGTATTTGGTCATTGGCAACTAGTTAGTAATTGGGTATGTTATTTGATTATAAATATTTAATAATATGATAAATCCATTTTTTACATTTATTAATTTACTTCAGTTAAAATGTCTATAATAATACATCGTGTTTTATCGTGTTTCGGGGCCTATAACGGTTTGGGGGTCGATGTGCAATGCACACCTTGCTTACCCGGTAATTGCGGCACTGTTTGCATGTCTATAGAATAATAAATAAAGATAATTATAATAGTAATCAAATTTATATTGAATCATATCGTGACATTTTTTTTTCTATCTATAGTAGATGATTTGTGTCGCCAACGGTTGATCAAATTTAATTTTAACTTTGACGCCTCTCACGCGCCCTTCTGATTTTGGCGCCCTGTTCCGTCGCACGTTCAGATCGTATTTAAAGCCGGCCCTGACTATGTGTATTTATGAAGATCCATTTGCAGCAAACAATTAAAATAACAAATTAAATATGACCGAAAAAAAATACTTCATCGATTTATTTAACGGTATTTATGTAATAAGCTATTTTAAGTTAAAAGTGGTCCGTATAATTTTGAGTATGCATTTAGTGGTTCGTGAGGTCCAAATGCTTTGCGACCGCTGGTATAGATTATTAAAATCAGATTATTATCAGTGAAACGCACAGAGACACGACTGCGTGAACACGAATGAATACAACGCGAATTATTTGACAGGTTACGAAAAATAAAAATAAAATAGTTCAACACCGCGCGGTTCTCGGGTCTTTGAACACGTTGATTATTAGCATGGATATGACGACGATCAGACCGATCAGGCACAGAAAGCCGAATGGTCTGTGGAGTTGGAACTCGCAGACGATGGCCACCGCGATCAATATGACCACGCTGGCGATCATGCACATGCAGTTGAAGAACAGGTTGTTCGTCTCCAATCTGATTGGACCACCGTTCATCGAGCCCGGTAGCAGGCACTTGACCAACCAGGGCAGACCCAAGCACAGCAGTATATCCATCGTGTTGGAGCCCAGCGCACTGCTGATGATCATAGCTCCTTCACCTGTACACGCAAGTATAATAATACACCAACCGAGCGACGGACTATCCAGTGTACTATCACCGAATCTGTTGCACCTGTCGGTCATGGGCGTGATTGCAGGGTCTGTCAGAGTTTAGGTTTGTGTGCTTGGTTGATTGGGGCATTGGTCACACTAGGGAATAAATGGATGACTTTGGTAGCTTAGCTCACTTTAAATTGTATTTCAACCCCTGTACAAATTAAAAATGATTCCAAAGTCAATTATATACTGTTCATTAAATAATATTCCTTCCCCTTTCTTCTGAAATCACGCCCATGCGTGTGAGAGTCAACCGAATTCCAAACAACATGAGCGTTGTTATATACGGGTTCTCACCTCTCCGCGCGTTGATTATACCCGATACAACTTCGGGAATGCTGCTGCCGATCGCCAAAATACCAATGCCCATGATAATATCGCTAATACGAAACGTATCACCTGTGTCCCGAAAACCGAAAATATTAAATTAATCCTTGTACTTAGTGCATGGAATTGAAAGAAGTACTTAAGATATAATCTTATAAAGATATACTTGTAACATACAAACTCGAGACCAAAATTCTAAGCTCCTATCAATTAGACTTAGTGTTTTACAGTGGTGTAGTTATGATTGCATTTGAAGGGAGGGGAGGGATAATTTGTTTTTATTTAAACATATGCAATGCATATTATGCATGTATAAAATTACATGTATAGTATTATAGGAACACCAACCGATATTCAATTATGTAAAAATATATTTCTATAAATTAATTTCTGATTTCAATTACAACATATTACTATTAATAACGTCAATTGTAATGTAGACAGCATAACGCATTAAATCGAACCTTTTTTTTATAATAAGTATAATAGTTTAATCATCATTCATATGTATTAATAAATAATCGTATCTTAATAAATGCCCCTTATATATATACAAGCATGGCGCAATAGGGGGCAAAGGGGAACTCTTGTCCCCCTAGAAAACAGTTCAGCCCCTTCGCCAGCCCACTGAAAAATATGTATGTTTAATAAAGTTATAAAACATTATTTTTAAAAGAGTTACATCAAAGTATTTATAAAATATACTTTTTAAAAATTTGTAATTTATGTAAATACATTCGTATTTTTGAAGATTTGTGTTTTAAGTTTTTAGATAGACTCTGAATTGTGCATATTTATTTTACTTATTTACTTATGATTTATTACTATTTGTTCATTATCATCTTATTGTGGTTGTATGTCACGAAAAATAATAATTGCTAATATTATGTTATATGATACGAAAATATTTATATTTTATTTAAATAATCTCAGAATCTGTTGAAAAACCTCTAGTATTAAACAAAATAGAGTATATCAGTTGTTCTCAAACTTTGAAACGTGCCTCTCTAAGGAGGCGTAAGTAGTGACGCCGAACTACAAAAAATGCAATATGGCGAATATCAAATTTTAATAGTACCTACTCACCTACCAATTGATGTAAACGGTGGGGGGGGGCTGAAACCCTACCATAATATTGTATTCAAAATTGGTATTAATATATATATTTATATATACATAAATTTATATATTTATATATCTATTCTCATATTGTGACTTATCAATAATTTATGATATAGCCAATATAGGTTTTCATATATTAAATAATATTTATTTTCATCACATCATACTATCGTTATCGTATTATTTGTGTTATTATTACGGTTTTCTGGCTTGCATCGACGTAATCAGCATACCACAACTGATATGCTTTTATGTAATAATGTTAAATATTAAATGTTTTTAATACTTTTATAATACATTTTTCACATTGGGCTGTGGATATGTGGATTGACCTATGTGTCACCTACCCAGCACTAGTGGTGGGCATATCCGGATTTCAAAAATCCGAATTATTCGGATTTGTCAAATCCGGATTTCACGGATTATCCGCAGTATCCGGATTATTCAACTCGATTTTGCTGTTCAATGACTCATTTTACTCATACTTACATTTTAATTCTATAATATAATTTTCATTATAATAAAATAATTTATTTTACCATACATTAAAAATATTTGTAAGCCTAAAGTCACATAAAAAGCAAATCCAAAAATCCGGATAATTCGGATAATTCGGGAAATCCGGATAAGATTTTAATTCAAATCCGGATTTGGATATCCGGATATTCGGATAATTCAGATATTCGGATTTCATGCCCATCCCTACCCAGCACCCAGTACCCACCCACCACATAATTCACTATGGCAGTCGCCATACTTGAATATAGGGATCGGCGCCACTGGGCGTAAGCACTTATTTAGGGAGGCGCTAGACAAATATTTATATTTTTTATTATACTATCCTATATTTATTTTTTGCTTTTATTAAAATAATAAAAAATAGTGTTGTTTTATTTATCTATGGAAAGCGTGATTAATTTTTTTTTTATTATTTTGGGGATGCGTGAATCAAAAAAACTTAAGAACCACTGGAGTATACTGTTTTAAGAACCTAAATATTAGCTTTTAAAATATTGAGACAAATGCAGCAACATGTATTGTCATATGAATACCTGCAGAATAAGCTATTTAGTGTAAAAATTACATACCGCATATCGTTAACATCCAAGACAAAATGTACATGACGACGCTGATCCACACGATAGCCATAATGAACGTTAAAGGGTAGAATTTCCGGTTCGTCTTGCAGTCTGGTATTGTCACCAGAAGTATAAACGTGATCGGCAAACACAAAATCGACCAAATTTTTAGTAGCAATACGTTGTCTGGCAATGTGGAATGTGAAGAGGTAACTGTGCAAAATATTTAATTTTTTAACTGCAAACGTCATCTTACTACCCCCATATCGAGTATTCGAGCCTATGCTCGAATACTATACCATAATATTATGGCAGTGTATTTTTATTGAAATTTCAATAATTACTCGGTTCTATCATACTGCTTATTTGATCGGATTTGCTGGACGCCGACGAGGTCGTGATTATCGTTATTGTGGGCGGTGATTGACATTCTATTGTTTACGGACAATCAATGCAAAATCAATATTCGTAATCCGTGATGCCCGATTGAGCACGGTCGTTATCGGCCGATCTTTTTGACGATCCGATTGAGTGCGATAAAAAAAAATAAATATTGTGTACAACATTGTCAGATTTTTACTAGTATGTATTGTATGTATTGTATTGTATGTAGATTACTAATAGGAAACTAATTATTAGTCGAAAAAAATTTTACTATCGATTGATGGATACCATAGAAGTTTAAATTAACTTTGATAAATAGGAAACCAGAATTTTATCTACAACGATTGAACTGTTATTGTGTGTACTCACGCTGTAAATAATAGCCAGTCTGTTCTGTTGTCTCGTGTGCTCGTGTTGTATTCCTAAACAATGTATTTTACAAATTAAAATAGAAAATAATGAAATGAAAATTATTTATCCGAGAGAGGCAAAGAGTTAGCTAATGTTGGGGCTTTCAAGTATAGGTTTATTGGGATTAGAAAAAATGATGAATTATTGAAATATTCTACAAAGCATACAAAGCGGTAACGTCGTATCCATTTTCGTACTCAATCGTGTGGTTTTTGGGCTTTTTTTTGGTTCTTATTGTTTAATTGCAATTGTGCTCAATCGGGTTACGAAAAAGATCAACCGTGCTCAATCAGATTCCAGCCTTGGTAAGTGTACCGTAGTGGTACAGATTTTGTTTAAAGTTACACAAACAAAAATATTATTTTTCTAATTGCATACTGTAGACTACAGTCTGTAGTTATTATCGAAACGATCACTAACCTGTTCCGTAATGATACGCGTTTGAATAACTGTTGTGCGCTGTAATATATTGAAATTCGTCCGTAGTGAATTTTTTACAAAACAGTGCATTTAAGAATAATTGCTTAAGATGCACAAAAACCAAAGTCCCTGTAACGGTGTAAATGGTGAATTGTTAATATTTATATATAGCCATAATTATACTATTATAAAAATAATCGACCATATTAAAAGGAACTAATTGGCAAGGCTGGGTATTAACGAGTTAAAAGTTAAAATTAAGTTAAAACGTTAAGTTAATTAACTCGTTACTTTTTTTACAAATTAACTTTTAACTTAATAAGTTACTTTTTTTTAAATTAACATGTTAACGTGTTAACATTAAGTTAATTTTAGTGCAAAAAATAATGCAAATTATCATCCCATCGTTGGTTGCGAGATTTTTTTTCTACATTTGGTCATTTGAAATCAACGTTCAGTCGCGCGGGGTTAATATTCTCCAAACATTAAAATTATTAAAATTAAAATTATTATTAAAACATTAAAATTAATCCGATACCACAAACTGATAAAACCGATACCTGATATTATAATCACAAGTAGTTTTTGCAGTATCGGTTCAAATATCGGTTTTGAAAATAAACCGATACCGATATTTCCGATACTATCAATATCAGCCGATACCAAGTATCGGTTCTAGGATCGGCCCACCCTTAAAAATAACTTTAATAGTTATTATATGGGCTATATTTTATCATTATATTTTTATAACATTGTAATTGTATAAGCGCTATAAACTCAAGGCAATCCTAAGAATATTTTGTGACCATGTGAAAATACTAAAATACCACGAGAGCGAGTGTCGATGGGGGATTAATCACAAAACAGCTGTGGTATAATTTCCAATATTATTTCATTATTCAACTAGCATGTATTTTGTTCACAACACGTTTATATCTATTTACAGATATATGCTGTATAGCCACATAAATTAGATTACTGATTATCTTATTTATGTTACATAAATGATATGTGGTGCTTTCAACAATAATTGCTGTAGTTATGACTCAACTTTTTTATTATTTACCATGTTTAGCAACAGTGGAAGTACAAAATTGGTAAACTTCAAATAATTGCATAATACAATAATTCATAAGTTTATAAATACAACTTCCATAAATATAATTAACTATTTTAAATGTACAGTTATTTTTATATTCTATAAAAGGTATTTAAATTTGTTGTACGAAAAGTTTAAAGTTTATACAAAGTATGTAATTTAATGAGATATTTGCAAAAGGTTTAACATTTGTTTTATTTTTATCTAAAAATATAATACAAAGTAATTATATTTTGACTGATAATAATTGTCCATGTTGTGCTGAGCCTAGTCTTTTGAACTACACGGTGGCTGCATTTTGTCTACTTAGTATTGAAAATATATTTGGGTAGTAGATACTGCCTGTTTGATTTTTAAAATTTGTGTAAATCAATTAAAAATATTGGTATCTTAGCAGTTAGAAGAAAACAATCAATGATGTTTTTTTTTAAATTTTAAATATTTGGATGTACCACTTGGGTAAATTGATTTGAGTATGAGTTCAGGATTAAGATTTATTTTAGAAAAGTAGGTTTTTTTTATAGCTAGTTAATACATTTATGTATCATTTTAAAATTTCCCAGTAATTTTCTTGAGTGTAAAAAAATTAATATTATGTGTGCAATTTTTTATTTTTGCAAATTAGAAAGTTTTAACTTTAAATTAAATAAAATAGTAACTTAACTTAACGAGTTAAAAGATATCGTTAACTTGCCCAGCCTTGCTAATTGGTTTATTAATAAAAATGTTGGTTTTTATTTTTAATAAATTGACAGTGGACCATTTACAATTGATGGTTATGGGGAACAATGTTGTACAAACTGCAGGTAACCAACTTTGGTAAATATTATTCATGTACACTATATTATTTTAGTCATATACAGTATATACGTATTATACTAGTCTATGTACATTTTGTTTAAATAATTAATAACAGTTGTATAGGACACTCAAAACGATATTGTTATCAGACCTGTATGCAAGAATCGTCCAAGAAAGAGTTCAAAATTATATATGTTATGTTAGGAAGGAGGACAATAAAAAAATACACTTTGGAATATCAATGAACGAAAATTAATAAATATCATAAAATGTCTGAACAGCTTTAACAGCTAACTTGTCAGTGAAATTGCATTCTATCGATGGTTTTCTACAATTTTGGTCATTCTACAATGATAATTAACAATGTGTGGAAAATGCTCAAAAATTCAATAGACAATCACGTAAAATCAATAAAATTGGCACTGTTTAAACAAAAATAGACAACTATGTATGAATTTTCAAGTCAGTTTAGTTTTATAGAATGAGGGCTAAGTATATGCTTAATAAAAACTTACAAAAAAAGGTCTTCAATTGGGGGGGGGGGGGGGGGTTATAATCCTTCTCACGTTTATGTCTCTATTTTAAGCCCTAGATCATTTATAGGCACTCACAAGTTCGAAATTGGTTTTCGTTTTTGAACTCTTTGACGGTCTTCACGAGCTTGTGTTGCTGGAACAAGAACAAGAAATACCCGAAGTACATGACGACCATGACCAACGCCTCGTACCACACAATCACGTTGTCGATGGCGATCGCGGCCAAGACGGATGTGGCCGTCACGTAAATACCGCTATCACGAATAAGCGGCCATTTTTCCATAGTGATGGCCTGATTGGTAGCCAGGCCAGCGCATGCCGAAACGCCCAAAGTGTTGTACACTCCGCTGCCTACTACCGTGCCCACGCCGATATCTGACTCGGTCAGAAACGTTCCGATGATGTTGACGAACAGTTCGGAAGTGCATGTAGCCGTTGCCATGAAAGTCGCCCCGGCCACGTCCGACGAAATGCCTAGATCTAAGAATGATATATAATAAATGGTTCGAGAAAAAAAATGTTTTTTTTGTGCACCAGGGTTTTCCTGGAAAATGGGAAAATTATAAATGACTCGAAAAGAGTTTGAAAAAAATTGCATTTTTTTTTATCGAAAGTGGAATCTACGTTATGCACTATCAGGTCCGGCTCAGATGATTTTACACACCTGGGCAAACTTCAGTTTTGCCGCCCCTTTTACATCTAAATACTATATCAAATATTCATATTAACATTACTAAAATATAGTTAATTCCGAGTTCATTATATTTATTTGTATAAAGTTATCAATTTATTAGATTGAATTAGATTGATATATTTATTGACAAGTAAATCTTTACTAATATAAATAAAACAAAATAATTTAAAAATAGTTGTATTATAATATAACAGTTAATAAAAACATAATATAAATGTTAACATCGTATTATAACTTGACTTTTCTTGCTTTTGCGTGAGCGAAATCAGATAAAACTTCTTTCATGTCCATATTATAGGCTAATTCTTTCTCAATTGAAATCATTGCAAGTCCCACTAAGCGATCCTGTGACATTTGGGATCGTAAATAATTTTTAATTTTGAGAAACTTCTTTCTCCCGGGGCAGCCATCACAGGAAGTGTTAAAAGGATTCTTAACGATATATAAGTGTTAGGAAAAAGTTCAATTAATTGATTTTCACAAATATATTCCAAAACTATTTGAGAATTAGTTTCTGTATCATTGAACCGTCATTGCAGAGCTGTAATTTCATAAAATAATTCTACTGCATTAATGTCAGAAGTTAAGCCGTCATCTGATCCAAGTGCTAGTTGAAGATCTTTGTAATGAATCATAAGTGCATCGCTATTTTTTACTTTGGAAATGTCATAAAGAAATGAAAATAAGTTTGCATGCTCAGAAAGTTATAAAAGTCTTTCCTTAATTGATTGTAGAGCTCTATCTGAAATTGCATTGAAAAAGTTTCAGAAACGTTAAGCGATATTGTTTGTAATATTTTACTGATAATATTTATCTCAAATAAAATATCGCACCAAATTACCAAGTAACACAAAAATTTAAAATTTAAAAACTTATTGATGTTACCGATTGCTTTAGCGCGACTTTTAACACCAGAAGGATTTACCAACGAATTATCTTGGGATATTTCTAAAAGAGCTGAATATATTTTTTGGCTTGAAATCTTATAGCTTGTACTGCATCTAATCTACTTTCCTAGCGGGTTTCACTAAGGGGTTTTACAGTTAGGTTATTAATGTGTTTTAATAAGACATCCTATCGATAAGTTAATGCAGAGAAAAAAACATAGACTTCTTGAATTATATTGAAGAATATAACTGCATCAAGACAACAATTTACCAAATCATTTAAAACTAAATTTAATGAAGGAGCATTGCATGGTACATAGAACGCTTTTCGGTTAAGTAGGCGAACTCTTGCTTGGACACCATTTTGTTGACCACGCATATTGGCATTGTTATCATATCCTTGTCCTTTCATGTTATCAAATAGAATACCATATTTTTAAGTATTTCAATTAAAACATTAGTCATATTTAAATCAGTAGTATCATGTAATTCAATAAATTTTAAAAAATGTTCACTTACAGAACATTTTGTAGGGACATTTTCTTTCTTTCGGTAGCTGTTACGAATCTTATAATCATTGTCATCTGCTCTTTATGATTAACGTCAGGTGTACAGTCCAAAATAATAGAATAGTATTTCGAATTTTGCACGGCTGATATTATTTTTTGTCTTATTTTGTTATCTAGAAGTTGGATTATTTCATTTTGAATATTTTTACCGAGGTAATGAGTATGTATGCCTTGAAATGTTATCCTACTAATATGCTATTTTATTATAGTGTCAAATTTACCTAGTAGTTCAATAAACTTCAAAAAATTTCCATTGTCGAATTCATATAATTTATCAGAACTGTCTCGTAAAGCTAAATTTTGCATTCCTAAAGTTTGAATAAGAAATATAATTCTTTCAATGACGGCTTTCCAGTGTTTTGTTTCTTTACGAATTTAAGCTTGGTTTTCATCGTCGATAGTTTTTCCTTACATCATTCAAGTCTGAAGGATTTTCCAATCTTCATATTCAATTTTATGGTTTGGAGAGTTTTCATGCTTTTTTAGTATTTAAGATATATTTTTCCAGTCTCTGGTACCTTGTTTAGAGAGAGATGATAAATCTTTTTTAAATAATTTGCAACAAAAACAAAATACTGAGTCATTTGACTCTAAATAAATAAGCCAGGTCCAGCTTTTTTTCCATCAGATAATGTCTTGAAATAGTGAACATTAGAAAACTTTCTTTTAGAATCATCTAATGGGTAATAATTTAAATTTATTTGATGGGGAATTAGTAATAATTGAGTATAAAACGATGTCAATATAGTATATAATTAGGAATTTAATATAAAATGTTTAATTTTCCATATTGTTTTAGCTTAAACAAAAAAATCTGAACTATTTCCTTATAAAATAAATGTTCAGTTTAGTTTCAATAAAGTCATACCTAGACATATACAGAATATTGATGGTAGAAAATAGCCATGGCAAATAAATGATATAAAAATGAATCCGTATACAACCACTAGTAAGTGAATGACTATTGCTCCGTTACGTCTTTGTTCCTTGGTGAAAAAATCAGGAGGAAATTCGTAGATTGAATGATGAATTTTTTCGCAAACACTTTGACTGCTGTTTTTTGAAGCGATTGAATTTAAATCATCTCCTAGAAATATAAATTACAACTTTTAAAACATACAATTATGTAATAAATAAATATACTATATGTATTTAATGTTTAAAAATACAATGCCCAAATAACATTATTGGAAGGAGTCAAACTCAAACAAAAAAAAAAAATTCACATCGTTCATAATAGTATGTTTTGTCAAAAATTAATACTATATTAATAATATAATTTGTGTGAATTTAAATTTGATTTATTAACATTTTTAAACAAATATACAAATTTAAACTTTTTAGGAGTCTATAGATGTATAGTTCAATATATAGAGTTACCTATAAGTAATTATAAAATATGATTATCTAAAACAGTATATTAGCAGGGAGTGGATACAACACGGCGACAACGAAATCAGCGGCCATTTTAATTAATGTACTTTTGTTATCAAATTATAATCAGTGATAACTGATATTCGTTATTAATTGTAATTTCAATTATGGTAATTGTTCAATATGTGATCTACCAAACAATGTGAAACATGGTGACCTACTGGGTACCAATAAGTTTTTACTTGTGGATCATTTTTTAGATAGTATGTCTATCATAATACAGGCCCGTGTGTAGGATTTTAGAATGGGAAGTGTTTAAAAAAAAAAAAAAAAAAATGTATAAAATAGATTCATCGATGATTAAATAGTATTATACAGGTATTTATATCATTTTTTTAAGTATATTAAAAACGTTTATATCGATATATTATATAAAATGCAAATCATTGTTGTAATAAATTTACAAATACAATTGTAATACGTTTACAAAAACACAATTTATATTTTTTTGGTAATGATGGGAGGTTGGGTTATACCATAGTATAAGACTTATAAGCCCCCCAAATCTCAAACTCTTATTGCGCCTAATACCTTGAAAAATAATACTACTATTAGTAATATTTGAAAATGCGCAGTAGCTTTTGTTACTAACTTCCTACTATACCTCAAATAAAATGGCTGACTGATTTCATTATTGTCCTATGCTGCCCATGTAATTTGTTATCAATGTCCATTCTGTTTTATTCATTGATATTAGGTACTTAAAATGATAAATTTAATTATTTTTATTTCTTCCTATTTAGACATTCCGCGGGAGAAGTAAATGGTTAAATGGTGTAAATTGTTTTCAGTCTACAGGTTGCCAATCCTTGATCTCTATTAATGATATATACAAAACTTTCAAGTATATAAATCTTAACCAATTACCTAGTTGTTGATAAATTAATTTTTAATGAGTCATTACATAATAGACTTGTGTTCAACTATTTGATTTTAATAATATAAAACATTTACATCGTCTTATTTATAAATAACTCTTCATATAATAATTTAATTATTTGAATCGATTATTTTCAAATGGAAAATTATAAGTACGATAATTATAAGTACTCGTATACCAAATATCGGCGCATATGAATTGGTTCCCAAATACAGGTAGTCGATATTTTACTCTTAATAAGTATCTTTGAAATGGCTCCCAAGGATTTACTAATGAATTGGCTCCCTACCTTTCTTTTGGAAAAATATATTGATTACCAAAATGTTATTAATAATTCAAAGTCAGCCGTTATTTTTAAAATTAGGTTGACGTTAGTCACACAAGATAATCGAGTAAATTCTTAAGTTTAACACATGGTTTACGATATCACATTTGTATATTTTACTTCGTTACATTGAGATTTATAAATCTATTATTTTACAGAAAATTATTTATTAAATATACTAAAATATTCAATAACACAATCATACAATAAATATAAACAATGATTAATAATTAAAATAAGACAATATAGCTGAACACATAGTTATAAAATATATAATATGTATATTATATAAATACAAATTAATACAAAAAAGATAAAACTCATACAAAATTATAGAGTGTCATTATAACATATAATAAAAATATTATATCAAACTAGATTATAATTGATTGGTGTCGAAAAAGTAAACGCGTCTAATATTACGAGAACTCCTATGTTAAATAATATTATTTAACAATTTTGGGAGCTAATTCAAATATACATTTTCGGGAGCCAATTCAAGGGTCGAATTAATATTTACCCAAAATTGGGAGTCAATTCAATGGTTGCCCCAGATATAGATTATTAGAAGCACGTACTTTTTTAGCATTGATTAAAAAATAGTCACAATTGATAACGTTTAGTGCTCATGATTTCGTAATAGGTAGTCGTAAAGTACCTAATTAAAAATACATTTTCATCTGAAGTTTCAATAAATTTAATAACAATAATTTTTAAAATACAAAAGTGCGAATTAAATTTACTTAAAAATGTAAAGCTATTTTATTTTTTTAGATCTAAAATGAATATATACAATCTGTATGAACATTTACAATAGGTATTAATAACAGGGTTGGACGGCTTGATTGAAGGGGGTGTCCAATGACACTACTTTTGAATTCTAGACAATATTTATTGTTATTATTGTTTTTTAAGTGTAAAAGAGGTCCCAGTCCTTCATTAAAAATTGTTAAATTAATAATATTATAACTATTCGCTATCAATTGGTACGTGGCTCCTTTATTGTAGTATTTAAAATAAAATGTATGATTATGGTTAGATACAACTATAGAATTAAGCTATAAGTATTGGATTAGTGTTTATGACTGATATTTTATTATGATGCTTTAGAACGACATTATTAAAGTAGGACAATAAGTTGTACCTATGTTTTTTTTGTTATATCTATTACACAAAATTAAACAATAAGTATATATGATAATATTACAATAAATCGTTTTTCATTCGAAGATAATAAATAGAAACTTTAATAATGTCTTTCAATTTTTTTAATGGTTAGGGTAACCTTTTCACTTAGATTGAATAACTTAAACAATTTTAAATCATGTACGTATTTTTGGAGATTTATGCATGATATATTTATTATAAATTTTTTAAAATTATTTATTTAATAATAATTACAAAGGGAATATCGATTATAATAGATTTTTTGACCAGTTCATTGACTGTAGGTTAAGTTATATATGTTATAAGCGCTAATGGAAATAAAATTTTTTCGTTTATTTACAGTTATAGTAGTTATAGTAGTTATATCTGTAAAGATTAATAACTGATATGGTTGCATATAGTACTAATATAATACCAGTGTGAAAAAATAATTAAATGTAAGTTATTAAAGAGTGAACTTTTAAAATTAATGTTAAATGTAAATACAAGTTAATGTTAT